TACTGTAGCATTGTTTATAAAGGAAGAAAATTATAGGAAATACTTGGAAACCCAAAAACGTGGACAATGGGAGAACAAAAAAACATTGTGCTCTATTTATTCACTGAAATACTATACAAGAGGTAACATGAGTAAATAAAAAAGGAGATTAAACCTAAAAAGGAGAATATAAAGTAGGGTTTTTCCCTACTTTTCCCTAATTTTTTTTGGCATACAGCAAAAAAATATGTATAGCATGACACATAAATGGTAAAAACTTTCAATGTGCCACAGGTATAGATAAATATTTGTTGTAAAAGCAAAAAACCATGGGCAAAAAGCACAAAATTAACCCTGAGAGCAGTTACTTTTGAAGAAGAGAAAAAAGGAGACATGGTGGGAAGGAACCAGTCTTTAGATGTCTGTATAATATTTTACTGCTTTTAATTTAAAAAAAAAAACTATGCTTTTAAGGAAAAAAGATTGGAAAAAGCGAAATTTTCTCTTTTTTCCAGATAAAGATGAAAGTCTCCCTTAGTACTTAATTATAAGATTCTCCATATTCACTTCTTCTTTCATCACAGATACCAACAGAGGCTAAACCCTCTGTCCTGGGGACCATTTCGAAGGGCTTCTGACAGGTGCTAGCGCATTGCCAAAAGATTCCCAGTAAGGCTCACCCAGACTGCGATGTTTTCATGCAATGATTTGGCTACATTTTCTAAATGTATAAATTTCAGCTCTGAGCACCACTGAAAGCTAGGCAGTCTACAACTAGTTGGCAAAGACTCATGTCAGCCTACTGGGTGAGAAACTAACAACACATGGGCTCTATACTGAAATGAGAGCATACGTTCACTTTAAAATGCAACCAGAAATCCAGATCAAAAATCGTTGTTATCAAGAGCACAGATATAACAGAGTACAGTACTAATTATTCCATAAGGACAAATATTACCATTACACTAAGGATTATGCAAGGAGTATGCTTTTAAGTAAAGAGTAAGTTTAAAATCCCTTTACAAAAAACCCTAAGGGGTGAAATTATATATCGAAATCATTTCAATTCTCTTTAGCCTGATACTGAGGCCAAGTGAGTCATGTATTGTAGCCTTATGGCAAGATGTATGAATTTAGCTATGTGATAGAAGAATCTGCTTGCTAGGACACATTCAATGATTCTTCTTATCAATAAAAACTTACAGTTCAAAAAACGTCATTATTTTAAACACTAAATAGAGTATTACAATCCTTTGATCCAGGGTTAGCCTTTAACAGTTTCAAAATTCATTAAAGTCAAAAATTTGGACAGATTTGTGTCACTAAATGGCCTTCACTATTGTTCACAGAATAAAACCCTTAATTGATTAATGATCTCAGGGTGTCTATCGCCATCTAGTGAACAATCACTTCAATTACCACACCAGTCACGACAACTGAGGACAACAACTGAGGACAACCGCGGCTGTCTCCGTAGTTTACAACCTAAGTCTACTTAACACTATCAACTTGCCCAGTATCACTTTTTATGTCTCTCTCCATACATAGAGAACAAACACAAATACAGGTGATACTTATATTGACGCACTTTTGAGTGTCTATAAACTAAGTTTCCATATTACTTCTCTGGAAACACTGACTTCCTTATTTTTTAAGTAACTTGCACGCTATGAGGTCCCTCATACAATTCTTTAACCATTAACTAATTCCTCTACCACCGAGCAATTAAAAATCACAGAAGAGTTTAAAGAGTGAAAAATCACACCTGGGAAAAGACAATATTGATGTCCATTTGACACAACTATTAGCATTTTTATTATAAACCTGTTTATGAAAGTACAATTAGTAATTACCCTGAGTACTCTAGCAGCCATAATACATTTGATTACAGAAATTATTAGGTCACCAGAGCCAAACCTGCATGATTCCAACAAAACTGAGCACATACAAAATAGACTTAAAAACAAGAAAGGAGGCGGGCGGGCTTACGGCCTCCCCAGACATATTCAAATGTAAAATTTTACCATCTTTTCAGATGACTTGCTATCAGGTTTCCTTCTCATTCATTTCCACTTGAACCTTAATCTAATTTACCCTACAAGAACTTGAAAAGCTGGGGATCCCTGGGTGGCGCAGCGGTTTGGCGCCTGCCTTTGGCCCAGGGCGCGATCCTGGAGACCCGGGATCGAATCCCACATCGGGCTCCCGGTGCATGGAGCCTGCTTCTCCCTCTGCCTGTGTCTCTGCCTCTCTCTCTCTCTCTCTCTCTCTATCATAAATAAATAAAAAATAAAAAAATAAAAAAAAGAACTTGAAAAGCTAACAAGCAAACTTCTAAGATCTTCAGGTTGTTCTATTATTTTGCCCACTCCATCTTCTTACCAAAAAAACAAGTGTGATAAATTACAAAGGTATTCCAAAATCTCAGCCAACTGACTCTGATTTTACACTTCACCCCTCCTACCTTTTTAATAACCAAGAAACATTTGAAATCACAAAGGCCTAATAGTATATATGGAAAATGCTAGTAAACCCAAAGACCGATTACCACAGAGAATATTTCTATCCACCAGTGCTAATAATTATCACCAATACTTTAACAATCAGTTTTATTTTAGGAAATAATTTCTGTAGGTGGCTTTGAATCTTCTTCTAGAATAAGATTTCCAGGGAGCAACTGTGTAATTATTATTTCTCATTAACCTCACATTACTTTCAAGACCGACTTTCCACAGTTGTTATATTTTTTTTATTTGTGGGAAGGAGCAAAGGGGAAAGAGACAAGGAGGAAAGTAGAAACCAAGAATTTAAATCACATATGATTATTTCTAGATTTCTTTGAAACTCTGTTTTTTAGTGGAGAGAGTAGAGGATTCTTTTTATAGTTTAAGATTTGTTACTGCTATATTTTATATAACAGAAAAATTAAAATTGGGTTTAAACACCCTATTAAAGATCAAGCTAAACAAAAATATTGCCCTTAAAGTACAATGGATTAAGGAAGTGGGGGAGATCGCTGGACAAATTTGGGGCTTATCATTATCAACAGTGCCCTTTTAAGCTTGTGGATTTCTGAGCCAATGCAGAAAATGTAACAACAGGGATTTCCCAACAGCAAGAGGCACTCTCCAAGGGAGTAAATTGTCAACTATTGCCTCTTGTGAGAAACTTAAGAGTAACCTTGATCCAATCTCAATAGTCAACCTATGTATTATCACCCAGTTGGGGCATAGTGAGTGCATTTCCTAATACAAAAATAAGATGGTATTCTATCAGAAGCCACTGGATACGTACACAGAAATAAAATTTAAATAATTTTAAAGTAAACTTAGCCTAAGAAACTGAAAACATCCTTCTCTCACTTCAGCTAGCCCCTAAAATACCTATTTCTTCCCATGCAAAAAGGGCCTGTGTCTTCAAATGAGTATCGAAAAAGATGTCCTTTGGGGAATAAAAAGTAGAATATAAAGCAGAAGCACAGTCATGAAAGACATCATGAGATGGGGTAGACAACTCTACTGTGGTAGAAGCCTTACAATCAGGAAAATAAGGATTCCAATTCAAAAAAGTCACTTGTTATACTTCACCTCTTTGAGTCTTAGCTTCTGCATCTGCAAAACGGGAATGTTATGAATCATATCACTGAATTGTGGGGTTTTAATGAGGTAATTCATCTGGAAGCTTCTTATATATCACTGTTGTTAAATACACATTTTGCCTTTCCTCACTGTACCCTAAGCTCTATCTCTGTGAGATAGAGCTGTCAACAGAAGAGTGGCTCTGAACATTGTTTCATGCCAGCTAGATCTCCACTGACCAAGAGAGGAGCCACTAGCCACATGCGGATAATTAAAGTTAAATTTATTTTAATTATAATTAAATAAAACTCAAAATCAACACTAGCCAGATATCAAATGCTCACTAGCCACTTGGGCTAGTGGCCTACTATAATATAGTAGTGGCCCTATTATATTATATACTGCAGATGGAGAACATTTTCACCATCTCAAAGTCTACTGGACAGTGTTGGTCTAGACTCTAAGGCAGAAACATGTTTTCTGGGGCACCTGGGTGGCTCAGTGGTTGAGTACCTGCCTTTGGCTCAGGTCATGATCCCAGGGCCCTGGGATCGAGTCCTGCTTTGGGCTCCACATAGGGAGCCTGCTTCGCCTGTGTGTGTGTGTCTCTCTCTATCTCTCATACATACATAAATAAAATCTTTAAAAAAAGAAACATGTTTTCTGAAAAAGGGCCAGATGGCAAATATTTTAGGCTTTGCAGGCCATGCAAGTCCTGACCCTGATTACTCAATTCTTATAAAGCAAAAGCAGCCAGATAAAACATAAAAAAATGTGGTTGTGATCCAGTAAAATTTTATTAACAAAAATAAATGGCTGCCTAGATTTGGCCATTGGGCCACACTTTTGTCAACCCCTACGCTTGAGTATTCTGATTTCAGAATCTCAAAATGAACATTCTATCCATAACCATGAACTACCTCCTTAAGACTGAGTAGTCTCAAATCCACTGATGGGAATCAATATTTAGTGGAATGAAATGGAATTTAATATTTAACATAACTATTCTTTTACAAATTAAGAAAAACCCACACATGTGGGGCTCAAGCAGGTGAAGCTTATAGTGTTTACAAAGTGAAGTATCTCAAATCTGTTTGGTATCTGGCTCATCTTTCTAAAGCCAATAACTCTCAATCCATAACTCCCCTCCTCATCTATTCCTGGAATTGTGGACGTCTACATCCAACTGCCTACTTTACATGCCTAGAGATCTATTACAAATCTCGAAGCCAAAACAGAATTCCTAATTCCTCTCTCCCAGATCTCTCCATTTTAGTAAATGGCTCCATAAGCTAACCAGCTATAGGACTAAAAGGAGGCAATCCTCCTTCTCAGACTACTACTTACACCCCTCCAAACTCGCAACCCCTCACAAAATCCGACGCACTACTGGGCACACCAGACGCGAGACTTAGATCATGCGGCTATCCATATGACACATACGTTCCTCCCATCGCTCCTCACTTCTCGCCGAGGTTGCCGGAAGCGTGACAGCGACCTCAGATCTGCGCAGACCACACCCAAACTAGCCACTGTACGACACATCAATCTCAGAAGCAGCTGCGCCGCGCGCCCCGGGCTGCATAGCTAGAGCGCGTTATCCGCAGCAGTGCGACTCTCAACTCTACACTAAGCTAGACACCTACACAGTTGCTCCCTTTGATCTTCTAGAGAGTTATCTTGAGTCTACTCTACATTCAACCAAGCACCTTTCCCTTATTTTCCCAAACTAACCCTACTCCGCCGATTCACCACTCCCCCCACATGACAATCTAGTGTCTCACTCATTCACATCATCATTCCTCGCGATTCATTCTTCATCGCTTACACCGCTCGCGGCAATCTTCTCTTTAGACTGACCACTCTTTCTCGCGATTGCCGCGCGGATAGAGCATGTACATCGGTCTTAGTCATGCTGAGCGCTTCCCTCCCCTTCCAACCCAAATGTACCCCTTACTTACAGGCACCTTACACAATCTCGAGACACACCAAACTAAAATACACCCCTACGCTCCTCATAGACATGCTGAAGACAAAGACCGAATAGACGTCAGTGGCTCGAAACCAGCGACGTATACGTGCTGCTTACACGAAGAATGCGAACTTACCTGAGGTCAACACGTCAAGCGATTCAGAACAACGCACATAATCATGCTCGTAGCCAGCAGTCTGAAGTGGTTCAGTAAATCAAACGTGAGAGATGGGATGGAGCTCAAGACATGTCAGCTATATAAAAGATGACTCAATTAGGTTATAAATGCCTCTGTAGGGTGCTGTACGCAGAGTTGCATTTTGTTCTATCAAAAGGACAGGCAGAAGCACAGGGTGCACTTCGACAAGGATGTGACGAGACGTACAAATAACGTGAGGAACTGACCGGAGAGTTAGGTAGGAGGGTTACTGGACAGCCTAAGAGCAGTGCTCTCTTGAGATACCTCTGCTGCTCGGTGCGGCAAACAGGTGTAGGAAGACGAGATATTATAACGCTGAGTGGGTGACAGACCTTCACGGCACTCGTTACAGAGCGGTATGACAAAGTAACACAATTGCTCATGTGATCTTTGCTACGCTAGTGTAGAGGTGACGCACTTATCATGCGGGTCTCTTTGGCACGAGTCATGCTGTTGCACTATGGGACGTGGCGAGCAGAGTACACACACAGCCATTCTGACATCTGAAGGACTGTATAAGTCTCAATAGATGAGCATAAAGACATGAGCGAGCAATGAGATTCCTACTTACGATACATTATACAGCAGTAGGCACATACATGTACACACGAGCACGATCTCTGTGACATGATCCAGAGAGAGAGTCGAGGTGTGCACGTCGTGTTGATAGAGACACAACGACTATCAACACAATGCTCAGATCTGCTCTGACTGTTTGAGAGCGGTCTATCACACACTTGAGCATCGCACTAGACAAAGAGACTGGCTATGGTGGGTCACACAGGATGGAGACGAACTAGATACGACATTGAGCGTGACTCTAGAAACATGTGTGGCTCGAGCACTAGATGCAGAGGTGATTGACCACATTATGTCTGGGATTGGGATGCTCTGTGCAGGACACAAGAGTCATAAATACAAGACTAGACTGTGAGGAATATGTTTTGTGCGTGTGAGAATAACTGATCTAGATATCTGACGACTAGTTGGATAGAAAGAGGTCTAGGCATTCACTCACAGTAGATAGAGGTGAGAGGGATATTTAATAAGGGACATCAGACACCAGGGCAGTAGGGTGTGTTTTGAGTTGTGTGGAGAGTATTCCGTTTTATTCAACACGGTGGTGGGTTATTTTAGCTAGTGGGGCAGGGGACGGCTTGTGATAGGTCGCGCTGAGCAGCGAGGGTACAGGAGTAATGCGAGTGCAGAGGGTCCAATCAACAGATACTGTCATACTGCGAGGACACAAGTGTCATCACAGACACACGAGATAATTCACCTTATGCAGCACGAGGTATTGCACCCTGCACCTGGGGAGGTGCGTGTGTAGCAAAGCCACTTGAGGTGGTGACAGAGGCAGGTAAGCAGACATAGGCGTGCTGAGAATGAACATACGTTGTAGAGGATAAACGAGTATGGTACTAGGGGATAGGATATGAGTCTAGACATTTACGGGGCACGTTACTATCTATAGTAGATAGACGAACGAATTCGACTCTATAGTGTCAGTGATTGAGTGTCGAGGGTGAGCGAGTATGTTTTGGCGGGAGACTCAATCACGTAGAGTCACGCACAGGTATAGTGACGTGTGTATTGATTTGACAACAATACACCGTATGTTAGATATGAATGAACTGCAGAGCAACTAAGATACTCACAACAATGAAAGCAGTGATACATGGCCGTCGGTTATGATCACATGAACATATATCATTATCTTTATATACTTGTAATAGAGTCTTCTCAGAGGATGAAGAACTTTTAGGAGTTCTTGATTCACATCTCTCATATATTCAGAGGATACACGGGATGGGTGAAGGTGGCAGGAGAGTGGACAAAAGTATTCTCTCATTTCACAGACTCCACGCAGACAACTGACACATGAGGGTGCTGGATGTAGGTGAGTGGAACTGGACTTAGGAGCACACATACGCGATGTAGGTCTGATAGTTGATCTGGATCTGTGGAGTTGGTGTAGCGGACATACAATGGAGTACGACTAGAGGGAATACAGATTGGTGATCAATCTATGAGATACTAGAGACATGGGAATAGAGGGGGTTGGAGTGTTCTAGAGGTGTGCTCAGACATATAGTATCCTGATTTTTACAGGTTGGTGGAGGTCTAACTAGTTCTTTGTATTTATTTTAAGCGATGAGCACTCATGGAGCGGGACGATGATAGATCTAGTGATATATAGATTCTAGAAACAACTTAACACGAAGTTAACTGACATACTTTGAGGAGGTCGATGGTAAGTATTGTGCTGGGGTGGATACTTTGTAGAGGTGTTGGAGTTTTGGATGAAGACTAGGTGGTGAGTAGTTGAGTGCGGGAGTGTGAGAGTTAGTTATCTCTACTATTCCATGTTTCAAAGTATCTACACTATAGACATATGGTCTCTTGGATACAATTATTATAGTGGGTAGAGGCACGAGTCGTAAGGGTCTCTGTGTGGATAGTGTCTTCAGTACACATCTATATGTGTACAGTTCATTATGGGTGAGAACACACATTCATTGTTTGATGATCTGTACGCTCGGGAGTTGGTATAAGACAGAGACATGAGACCAACAGACTTAATGAGGTACGGAAAGGTTGTAAGGGAAATCGAAGCGAACATGTTTAGGGAAAGCGGAATTGTGGTTTAGATTAGTCTTAAAGATAGGAGATTGCTTAGGCGAGCGTCCGAGTATCTTGAGTTTAGTATGATGAGAGAGGCACAATCTAGTTGAGATCTCTTAGATTATTGCAGTATATACCAGAATGATCTATCGATGATTGGATGATATGGAACACACGGGACGGGTGGGTACAATCACATGGGGGGAAAGAGGTGAACAGAGTTGTGGAGTCAAACAGTAAAGTACTAGGACAGATATACACACAAGTGGGGACAAACACAATAGATGTCAGAAACACAACATAGGGAGAAGCACTCTGGATGTAAACAACAAGTTCATCGTGGAGGAGACATATTTAGTTTCTTTCTGCTCATTGCAACTGCACGACATGAACACACATATAGCAACATTACAGGTACGAGTGTGCATGATTGAGGATATGGTTGAGCAGACTAGTAGGGAATAGGATCATGGTGGGAAGATTGTGAGGGTGTCGCGTAGGTGAGAGGTCTGTGACAGTGTGTTAGCGTGGTGAGTCTATGTATCGAACATAGAATGAACAGCAGTAATCAGTTATGTTGTGGAGCAACGTGCCAAGGAGAGGACACACATGTGTGACTTGTAGATCATTGGTAGACACTAAGGAGTTGAGAGAGAGGCGCTACGTCTGTTATTTCTAGATAGGCGAGTAGGAGTGGTGACTATACATGTATGAGGGACACTATATCAAGTGAATTGAAGCAATAAGTGATCTAGGGGTACATCTTGTAGTTACTAGTGTAGTGCTAGACGAATCTCGCAACACATAATCTTGAGGGATCTATCGGGCACGAGGGAAGCAGAGCACAGAGCACGGGGCTTTCACACACACCACACACACAAGTGATATGAAATTGAAACATCATGTGGAGGATAATATACGATTGGTGTAGAGTTCTGGAAGAGATTTAGGTGTAGCACAGAGTACGATCTTACGACTCACTTTTGATGGATACATTAATCTACAATGAGATATATGACACAGTGGAGTGGTTATGAGGATGAGGAGCACACAGGTTGGATTAAGGTAGCGAGGAGTATCTACTTTAGACAGGAGGAAGTGGATGTGCAACGTAGTACATGAGTTGAGAGTCAAGAGGGATGAGTACACATATATAGGGAGTGAGGAGACACTCGACAGAGTATAAGTCACTATAAGTAATGTCGGTAGGATAGGTGAGGACTATGGCAGAGGTGAGTGTGTGCTTGATAGAGTTGGTAGAGAGGTATCTGTCACAAGCGTGTGGAAGAGAGGTGACTTGAAGGATCATATAGGACAGTAGACGTAGTGAGTCTACTTATTAGGTAGTTATAGGAGATTCGATAACTTACGAATAGTAGATACGAGAGGGTCACACATTGCACACGATGTCAGAGAGACGGTGATGATATTAGCGGTGACAGGAGACATTGAGAATTCTCTAGTACTACGAGCATTCTTAAAAGTGGAATGGCGACACAACATCGCAAGGCGAAGTCAACAAGTAGGGTTGTTGTGCGAAGAGAGGTATTAGGAAGGTGGGTGTATTTCTGGACTATACTCAGTAGGGAGCTGAAGGTTAGAAGCTGTGTGCATCAGTTGTCATTGATGTTTGTGGACAACTGAGGACACTCTACGATTATGTTAGGACCATAGGTTTTTATGAGACAATTTAGTGTATGGACAACTTTTGTGGGACAGGCGTATTTGGGTCTTATGAGTGTTGTTTCTATAGTAGTAGGAGGATTACTATGATACACAATTGAGGGCACATCGGATAAAGATGATAAATGGTATCTATTATTTGGACATTAACTCAGTGACAATATATGAATTCTATGTGTTCTAGTGGAGGATTTCAAGTGACTGTATAGTGCGAGAACAGCTTGGTGTGACACTATCTAAGGAAGTGCGGATACACTCTACACATGACGGAAGCGAGACACTACTCAGACTATCTCTTGCGAACTTGGACAACGTGCGTTGGGACAAAGCTGAGTAGAGCATCTGGATCTAGCATTGCGCACTCTCCGTGCAGTGTATATTCTGTGTATTTGGACTTTTGACAATGTTAATGTTCTTTTAGGATGGTCTCGAGGTATATATGCGGGAGTGAGTGGATTGTGAGTAGTAGATGCCATGAGGTGTATAGTTATGGGCACAGTGATATCTGTATATGTAATGCAAATGTAGTCTCTGTCTCTAGATGAAAACACAGGTGTAAGAGATGGTGAGAACTATCATACAGTTTTTGGGAGGGGGAGGATCAACAGGATGATTTGGGGAACACAGGTAATACTCATAGTGTATCTGCAGTCTCATAGTGCACGGAGGAGACAGGTCTGTGTACGGCACGAAGTCAATGAGAGGTAACACATGACTGCTATTAACAACTAGGTATGATCGATTTTTGGGCACAAAGGACACAATTAGAGAGTCACTTGGTAAGCAGTTTTATATTTGCGGGATGGGGGGGGAGAGAGGTGTCAGAGGGAGACTTGTGTCTTACAGGTGTACAAGAAAATGTGTGCAATTTACATTCTAAGGACACATACAGGGAGAGACAAGTTTGACATCATCACAAAATGGGGAGAACCAATATTCTCTCTCTGGAGAGTGGAAGATGGGAATCACATTTTTCTCGGGTATGAACTATAGATCACGAGGGAGTACGAGGGGGAGAGGGGTAGGAGTGCTGAGTTGTATATTTTCACATACGTTGGAGACATAGTAGGATAGTCTAGATGGGGGTAGGCGTGTATAATCTAACTATATTAGATGGGGTGTACGAGTATGGCAATACAATGATGTGAAAATGTGGTGTGAAGGGGGAAGACACAGAGAGTAAACAACAGAAGAGAACAAGACTAAACAAGACACATATGTGGGAGATGCACAACATGTGGTTGTTTTGTTTGGTGTTAGTGCCAGTTTGTTCTACTTGTTTGTTGACTGAGTTTCTACATATTAGACTCGTCAGAGCTAGTGACATGGATATGCGGAGGTATCAGAAGGTGGGACATGACTCTGATTGTAGTCAGAGCTGATGACGAGAGGGTGAGATGAAAATTGTGGTGTGAGTAAATCGAGAGGGTACAGGACAGTAAGTTGTGAAGAGAAGAGGAAAAGACGAAAATGGGAGACTGATATGAATTATTTGGAGAGTTTTGTTTTGTGATTTGAGATGGGGCTGTTCACACGGTGGGGCTCACGTGGGGGGGTGAGGATGTGTGATTATACATGTTGTGTGTGGATGGTAATAGATGATCTTCTCTGAGTGTGTCTCCTGAAGAGAATCTGGATTACAAGTGGACACAAGGAGGTACATGGGGTGGAGTGGACGATGGGGAAGAATGGTTCATAGACTAATGAGGTGAATTTGATGACAGTGTAGACAATTATTAGAGTCAGTGTGGCGCGAGAAACATGGTTGGGACACAAAAATGTTTTAATGCTAGAGTGGTTTGTATATCAAGGACATGTTAGTTTGATAGGTTTTAACAATTTTAGATGAGAGGGATAGTGTGATAATGGGGGTTAAGGATATAATGTATGTTGTATTATGTAAACTGGAAGGAATGTAGTAACAGTGATTATGCAGATGTGGGTTGTGGATACGGGCACAATTTGTCTCATGGATTGGGGTAAGATTTCTCTAAGATGTATAGTTAGTGGTACATTAGGTTGTTGACTAACTCGTAGATTGGTTGGAGCATAACACAGTGAATCTATTGTTCAAGCTTGGTTGACAAGGTTTGTATGTACGTTGGGAGTGGGTGGGAGAGTAGACTGGGAATGTATCTATTGGATTAGTGTAGTGCTATTGTTTATTATATCAAGAGGTTTGTTAAGTTAAATTAGGAATATAAATGGTATATGAGGCTAATGAGTACTATTTGTTTAGATTATGTTAGATTTTGAAAATCTAACAAGAAATTAGAGTATAATGTAGTTAATCAGTTACTAGCTTATGTGAAGAATTTTAAGTCGACTCTTAGAAGGGCTGGTAGGAGATGTACAGTGTTTGGAAAGTATGATTTTTTAAAAATTCATAAGGACTAGCATGGTTCTATTACAACATGTGTTGATTTGTCAAGGTATTTGTCTGTAGAGGATACTGTAGGAGGAAGGGAAGGAATGTTCGATGTACTGGGTGTTGGTGAAAGGCACAGTATGATGTGGGATTGTAATGTATGTTTAAAGTTATTTATGAGGAATTTGAAAATTTTTATTGTGAATTTGAGTATTAAATACGAGCGTGAGTTGGTGAAAGAATGTCCGAAGAGAAACAGGAAAATCGTAACTTCTTGTAGGGACTAAGATGTGAACTTAGATGTGTATAAACTAGTCACAAAAATTGAAATAGGTATAGCATAAAATAGACGTAGTATTTTGTAACAGATAATTGCACTAGTTGAATTCGACAAAATATTGTCTAAAGCAGAATTAAGATGAATACCTTCACATAGATTCTCCTAAAAAAAAAAACAGAAGAGAGAAAGAATCACTTGCCAAGTCATTCCTTGAAGGCACTCATTTTTTTTTAATGGCACAATTTCGATTTCTGGCTTAACACAGAGTATTGCATGCCACCCGACTTATTCTCCTATTACATATACAAAAACCTACCGCCAAACGACATAACACTCTGGATCAAAACATCAAAGCTATGCCAGCACATAAGCAAGACCCGAGAAGTGAAGAGCAGAGCACAAAGAACAGCCAACCAACATAACTAACAGACCTGACAACTCTACAAACAACATATAAAAAGGATTCTACAACGGCACAAACTCTCTGAGAGTTGCAACACTTATTAATCGCCGCAGGAGACACGATGAGAACGTTCACAGCACCACTGGCACATCATCATGATTAATTGCTACCATATTTTAAAGACTGAGCTAAAGAGGATAAAAAAGTACATGATTATCTCAATAGATTAAGGAACAAACTGCTGACAAAATCCAGCACCTGCGAGTTTGAGTGATCAAAAATCTTGGCAGAACAACCGGGAACACAAAAATGGCGAACTTCCCACCGCGGTCTGCTACAACACCCGACCTACGGAAAACCTCCATGACATTCATCTACCATTATGGTGGAAAATGAAAGAACTCTGGGAGAGATTCTTCTATTGCGACGTGCCCTAAGGACAAAAGAAGACATCCACAGGCGGTAGGCTCACGCTCTCTCGAGCAATCTCTATTCACATTCATTGTACTCGAACATCCTAGCCAGGGACAGACAAAAAAAATATATATATATATAAGGCATCCAGAGTATAAAAATTAAAAATTCCTCTCTATTGCAATACACATGGCGCTGGATCTAATGGGATGTAGAATAATCATTCACGTGGCCTGATCCATGCGAAGAATAGATTAGACGTATAGGGGTATATGATAGTAAATATAACGCATCGAGTGCAGTGGAGTATGCGAAGCACATCCTAGAGTCATTGAATAAGACAACCAGCAAGCGCGGAGCAGTTATGTGATCTTCACCTGACATCCAACATCAGAGTGATAGAGACCTCACCAAAAGCCTATCAAGAGAGAATAAATACTTCCAGGAATAAATTTATAACACTCAACACAAAAGTATTCACAAATTGATGAGCACCTTGACGTACAACTACTATAACAACACCTTCACATGCACGACAGCGATAGAAAAACCTAATTCACACAGTTGGAAAGGAACCTATTATCCTCTTCATGTGATGTCTCTGACGAATACCACACGACATTACGAGTGAGTGCGAGAGTAGCTACTTCATCCTCGCGCCCTACTACATCAATCACTACTACAGAGGACGCCAGCTACAATCCCTACCAAATCACAGGACCTTTCATGTGTTCATTAGAGATAAACAAGACATGACTTCCGCAAACGATAAGACAAACGATATGTGATAGCAGCGCATATCACACAGAATGGAATATTATCAGCACTAAATTCAGCGAGACACATGAAGTGGACGAATACTTGCGACAACAGACACAGATGCGAGAATCTTGTGAACAGGCATGTATCTGGCTATCTAGCGAGTTACTGAGTGCCGATCTCTCTCAAACCGTCGCGGTAGTTACCTATCAAAAGTGCACGAGAGAAAATAGACGTACCCAGTGATACACAAATTCAAAGGGGCATACATACCCTGATGTCTACAGAAGCATTATCAACAACAGCCGAACTATGGAAAGAGCCCAAATGTCCACTGACTGATGAATAAAGAGGAAATGGTGTGTGTATCTACACACGCAAACACCTACACACACATACACATGCACACGCACAGAGAATGGAATATTATTCAACCATCAAAAGAATGAAATCTTGCGATTTGCAACAACATGGATGGAGCTTGAGTATATTATGCTCAGGGAAGTCAGCCAGTCAGAGAAAGACAAATAATACATGTTTTCATTCATATGTGGAATTTAAGAAACAAAACAGATGAACAGGGCAGCCCAGGTGGCTCAGCGGTTTAGCACCGCCTTCAGCCCAGGGCCTGATCCTGGAGACCCCAGATCGAGTCCCACATCAGGCTCCCTGCATGGAACCTGTTTCTCCCTCTGCCTGTGTCTCTGCCTCTCTCTCTCTCTCTCTCAATCTCTCTCTCTCTCCCCCCCCATGTCTCTCATGAATGAATAAATAAAATCTTTAAAAAAAAACAAGAAATGTCCAAAATACACAAATCTATAGAGGCAGAAAAATTAGTAGTTGCTGAGGTCTGGGAGGAATGGAGGGATGGAACAGCTACAATGTAGGGGGTTTCTTTGAAGAGTAATGAAAATGCCATCAAATTGTGGTGAAGGTTGCAAACTCAGTAAATGCGCTAAAAGGCATTAAATTGTATATTTTAAATGGATGAAATTTATGTGAATTATATCTCAATAAAGTTGTTAAATAATGAATGGAACCACTGTGAGTTTCCATGTACTCAACCCTCTACCTTTTTTGACCACTAAGAAAGGAAAAATTGTATCCTTAACAGGAAAAACTAGAATGCTAACCCCCTCTGGTTCTCTTCCTTCTTTAAGCATTGCTTTTAATCTCAATTTAAAGAGCCCTCGGTTGAATACAAACCTCCGTAACTTTCTGTGTCTCTGAAGCAACTCTTTGCACTGTTGTAAAACAAATGTTGAATTCCTGAATGATGGAAGGATACAGACTGTTGAAGTCCAGGAGCAAAACAAACTTATCATAAAAACCTGCAACAAAAAAGCCATATTACAAAAAGTCATTAAAAAAAACAGAAATTCATTTTTAAAAAAGCAGATACAAGTAAGGGGAAAAAAAAGGGGGAGGAGGGCTAAAGAAAAAAGCAGACTGGTCAAAACATAACATCAGAAGTACTATACAACAAAGTGTATTAGAAACAATGTACTATTCAAAGCAGCGAGTTCTATCAAAGGAAAAAAGTCATCTACTATCACTCTATAAAAATGACTTGTATTAGAGTAAAAACTGAAGTCACAAAAGAACAGGCAAGAAGAGAACATGTCTCACCTTGAAACCAACTACAACGAACAATCCTTTCTGCAGCAGTCCCCAAGAACACCATTATGATGGGCAAACACCTTCTCCTATCAATTACTTCAGATAGGTGTCATATCCATCTCAAAAAAATGTAAAATTCTCCTTCAGGCAAGTATTCCCTCCCACCTACCCTGCCACCTTCACCCCCAAAATGTTTGTGATCCATACCTGTGAGTAGTTAGGTATTTTTTCATCATCATACTTCCTAAGAATAAAACGGGAAGCCCACTTACCTGTACACAAATGGTATTAAATCAGACAAGAGATGTGTGTCAGCAGTGGAACGATTCACCCTTTTTACTTGCAAAGAGTGAACAGAAAGCTACTATGTTTCTCTAGGACATTTACAAAGAGTATCTTCACCTTAAGAAGAAACTGAACAAAAATAAATGTCCACTATTAAGAAAAAAAAACAGCCGCAAACATATGTTGATAGCATACTCTGTGTCGAGCACTATACTAAACAATCACTTTGTTCCTTAAGTCTCTGTGTGGTAGATATTATTCTTTTTTTTTAAATTCTAGTGTAGTTAACATACAGTGCTATATTAATTTCAAGAGTAGGTATTATTCTTATCTCCATTTTACAGAAGAGGAATGTGAGGCTTACTAAGGTTCAAGAGGAAGCCCAAGATCACACAGGCAGAATTTAAGCCCAGCTCTATCTAACACCAAAGGACTACTGATCTGTTTCAATACAACTAATAATAAATCACTTTTGTCAAAGAGGTCTCCTACTCAGAGTTCAAATTACTTCATAAAATTCATATTCCTGTACAACAGTGTAAATATACTTAACACTACTTTAACTGTACACTTAAAAATTAAAAGTTAATAAGTTTGAGAAAAAAAAAAGATCCCTTCCAGCTCTGTGTACCACAGAACATCTTATTTGCCATTAACAACAAGAGGGAGTAGTTACTCTGCTATTAAAGTTCAATTTGGTGGTTACTGTCTGTACTTTCTTGAACTCTGCTGTCCAAACGAACTGGTCCAGGCAGTCAGGCAGAGGCAGAGCCCACTCTCTAGAGTAGATGGGAGGAGAAAGAGGTGCTTCTACCACAAGACAAATAGCTATATACTGGACTAGGGGTTGGCAAACTATGCGCAGACCAAATTCAGCGTGCCCCCCCCCGCCTTTTTGTACCACTCATGAGCCAAGAATAGTGTTTTCATCTTTAAATGAAAAAAATTTTTTAAAGAAAGTATCTCATGATACATGAAAATCACACAGAATTTAAATGTCAATGTCCACAAACAAAGCTTTTTTGGAACACAGCAAAAAAGTTAAAAAAGATTCATATTGATTCATGTCAGGTGACTGGCTAACAAGATTTTCACATCAACAGAAGACAAAAATAAGGTCATTAAAAGACCTATTTCTAACCTACAAATACAATTTCAGGTCTTGCAGTTTCTCAAGCCTAGCTCTGCATGAAAAAAATTCCATAACACCAGGGACAAACCCACCTGCTGCGCAGCCTTACCAGCTTTAGGGTCCAATACCAAGCCTCCAGCATAAGCGGCTTTCTTACGTCCTTTCTTGTATTTATTGGCATCTCCATCAAGTTCTTCATCTTCATCTCCCTAATATCAAAGGGAAAGAGAACTTCACCAGCCAGCAACTGATTAACTTATTAAAAGTATTATGACTCTCCCTTTTCCAGCTGCAGTACACAATTCTAACAAACATTATTTGCTTTTAGTTACCTAGGGGGAATGACAGTTACTGTAATATGTTCACAAACCCAAATGAATGCCAAGCATGGGAGTTGCCAAAACACTATATCCCGGAGTTAATAAATACGCAAATTCTACTTTAGAATATTTCTGAATTCAGGGCAGCCTGGGTGGCTCAGCAGTTTAGCGCCACCTTCGGCTCGGGGTGTGATCCTGGAGACCCGGGATCAAGTCCCACGGCAGGTTCCCTACATGTAGACTGCTTCTCCCTCTGCCTGTGTCTCTGCCTCTCTCTCTCTCTCTCTCTCTCTCTCTCTGTGTCCCTCATGAATAAATAAATAAAATCGTTTAAAAAAATAGAATATTTCTGAATTCACAAAACCTTTTATTTTTTAAATCAATGGATACTAAAGATACAATGCTTCATATGATGTAAAATCTGAGACAGTAAAAGAGTCCTCCTAAATTCATTACTCTAACAATCATGATGTAGCAATATTAAAGATTTCATACAGATAGGATCATTATCCTCATTAATTTGGAGACCCTAAAGTGTGTCCATATACTTAAAATTCATTCCCAAGTAGTTTATTAATAACCAATATTCAATACCTCAGAAGTCAAGCTCCTGTAAGTTAACATTCCCTATACCAATTTTGATAATGTACATAAAACAAATACAAAAACTTGAATCGTCTTAACATTAAATTTCCCCTTTGAGTCAACTGCTATCAGTGAGGACAAACTGGTAACTAAGTTTTAGTTCCAATGTCATGGAGGCCACTTTAGAAAACTGATTGTGGTGACCTGATCCTTCTAGCATACAAAAATGCCATAAAGCAACAAAAAATAAAGGCTCATGCATTTAAGGAAAGTAAAGGTTTAATTGGTATCTAACTTTGGATACAGCTAAGATCGCAAAACATTTTCCTTGTATGCTCACCCATCAGAGAAACTTAATGCTACCCTCAAAGAATTTCCTATTTCACAAATAACTTTCATCCACACAGAAAAACGTGAAGAAGGAAATCACCACAAAAACACAACAGACTAAATCTGACATGCTTTCTACAGTATACAGGAGGTTAATTATTTTAGAAGCAGAAATAATCATAGCAAAAAAAGCTATCTAGGTAATAAAAGGGGATTAAAAAAAGGCAAAACACTATCCAAGTTTGGACCCACCAGTTTTTGCTGAGGCTTTCTGAAAATCTGCTTGTCGGGCACAATATAGTTGTTTTCATAAAACGCATGAAGTAACAAGAACTCATTACGCTCAGATCGTCCACCCATCAGCGTCCTAGACTAGTAAATAGAATTTCTTTTTTAAATATGAACTCAAAACTGTAACAAACAAAAGCAACTTTGAGACAGTAAATTTAATTATAGCACCTCCTCCACAATCATTCTTCCTAATAAGGGCTGCTTTAAAAATAAGAAGGTACAAAATTCATTCTAACATTTCCTTTGAGCAGTATAGTTAAAAAGAGACAAAGAAAGCTTAAAATACTGACACCACTTGGGCTATTTCTTTACTCCCAAAGAGACCATTCCACACATCAGACACATCCAGATGTTAGAGATGATCCTTATGTTCACCCAAAATTTCAACATACTGCACCTGGCTTTCCTCCCCTTCTCGCAGCCAGTTCATTTCACAAAAGAAGCCCAGCTTCCAGAATACAAGTTACTCATTTTATAAGCATGCATTTAGACTCATTATCATATAACAACTACCCCAAGCAAACACTGAATCCAACAGGAAATGCTTTTTCCCCCTTTCTAAGTTAAATTTACCATAATGTTCCCAGCGATGTTAGTGATCTGCAATGCTAATGGAAGAACATTTAGCTCACACATGATCTGCAAAATGAACCTGGCATCTTTCCAGGTGTGTTCCAACAGGTACAGCAGATGAGAAGATTCACTGTACAGAAAAGTAAGAATGAAACAGAATCAAGTAATTAAAAGAAACAATGACTATAATCAGAACATCACAAAATATTACAAAAAATTTTTGTTATGAGTAACTTCAGAGCAACAGCACTTTGGCTTTAGAAACAATTTAAAATGGTTGGTTTGAAACCACGAATTCATTCATGTCATTAATCCCAATGCCCTTCTCCAAAACACACACACACATACAAAAATCCCATAAATACAAAGTAAAATTATGTGTTAACTACAACCTGAAACTACCTAAGCCCTTTTATTTGTTCCATCTAATTAAGTATGTATTATATGCTGACAATGTGCTAGGCATAGTTCTAAATTCTGACTGTAACCAAATGAGAAAAATACCTGTCCTCATGGGGCTTATGTCCTCATGGGGGAGACAAAGTATAAATTAAAATACATACATATATGTGTGTGTGTGCGTGTGTGTGTGTGTGTGTGTGTGTGTGTATACACATATATACATATATAGTAGGTTATATAATGCTCAGTGTTAAGCGGAAAAAAATGAAGAAGCAAAGGAAACACTAAATGTCAGGAGCAGAGACTGAAATTTTAGTTACGGAACTAGGAAAGAGTTCCTTTAGAATAAAGAACCAGAAGAGGTAAGGAGGCCATCTTTGTGAATGAATATCTGAGGGAAGAGCATCCAGGCAAGGAGAACAGCACATTCAAAGGCTCTGAGCTGAGCACAAATTTGGCACTTCCAGGACCAGGAAGGAGACCAGTGGCTGAAACAAAGAATGATGTAGAGTACAGAAGGACAGAGTTCAAGGTAGAGTGACACACTATATAGGACCTTGTAAGTCACAGTAAGAACTGATTTTTACTCTAAATGAAACAGTCACTGGAACATTTTGAGCAGAGTACAGTATCTGACTTAACTTTAGGAAGATAACCCTGGTTCTTGGGTTGAAAACAGAGAGCAAGGAGTCAAGGGCAAAAGCAAAGAGACCAACAAAGAGGCTGATATAGGACTAATTAATCTAAGGGGAAAAAGAGGGTTGCTTGGACCAGAATGGGTTCAATGGAAGGGAAAAGAAGTAGTCAGACCTAGACATATTTTAAAGATAAAGCTGACAGGATTCTGTGATGGCTCAAACATGGGATATCTATCAGAAAGAGGAATCATGGAAACCTCAAAGGTTTTGGGCCAAACACGTCTTTGGAGGTTTCCAGGAGTACTAGAAAAAAAAGAGATGTCACTCAAGGAGAACTTCTGTCACTCAAGGAGCTGAGTTTCTGAATAAGGCTGGAGGTTCATATCGGACATCAAGTAAAACAGGCAGGTGGATACAGGAGTCTGGCATTCAAGGGAGAGATCTAAGCGGAGGACACCCAAGCAGGAAGCATCAGCACCTACATGGTATTAAAATTCCTGAGACTCGATGAGATCACCTAGAGAACATCGTCAGAAAGAGAAGCGCTCCAAGGACTGGGGAGGAACAGGCAGGAAAAAAATGAGAAGCGGCAAGAGGAGTAGAAAAAACTGTTTAGAAAATAATCAAGCACAAAGGTTCAGTTGTACAAAATGAGTAAGTTCAAGAGATCTAATATATAGCAATACGACTACAGTTAACAATATTATATACTTGAAATTTGCTGAGAGGGTAAATCCAGAGTATTGTAACCACTAAAAAAATTAGTAACCATGTGAGGTGATGGATATGTTAATCAGCTTGTGGTGTTTATTTTATAATGTGTACATTTATCAAACATCAGTTTGTATACCTTAAATATATACAATTTCTATTTGTCAATTTTGCTCCAATAAAAATGGAAACAAGAAATAATCAAGTAATATCTCTACATAACTTAAAGATTTCTCAGTTTTTCTATTTCCAAAAGAGTAACCTATCTCCTGAATTAATGAATTTAGGGTAGAAACCTCAATATCACATCAATTTCCAAACTGCTCTTAGGAAACATCTAGATGAGGCTGGGATGAGTGATGGAGATGAAGAAACACTGATAAAATAATTCAAGAGGCAAAATAATTTAAGTTATTAATGTAACAGAGATGCTGGTTCTGACATGAAAGCAGTTCCCCTCCAGAATACCACACACTCCCGTTGTTCCTCCAGCCTGATGGTGATGCTGGTCTCTTGCTGTTGCTCATTTCAAGACAGACAAATTCCAAAGCATCCAGGATCATACCTGTACATATTTCGTACATTTTCCATTGGGATTACAACCCTCTCAGTTCTCAGAATCTGTTGAACAAGTTCAGACAAATGGTAGCTTTTACAACGAATCAATTCCTTTGCTGAAATTTCCACATCACAGATCATTCGGCCACAGGTAGCATTTCTTTCACCAAATCCACTCCTGCCCTACATGGGGAGGACAAAAAGCAAATCCCATGGATGAGCACACACTGAGAACATTCTGTTCTAACTCATTTGAAGCTAGCTCAGAATTACAATGAGAAAACTCTCAATCTCCCATTCACCCAGTCAGCCACCACTCAAATGTTTCTGAACATCTGCTAAGAGGCTGACACTGTTCTAGGCACCTGGAAGATAGCAATGAGCACAACAGAAAAGATTCCTATCTCCATCTGAAATACACAACAAAAAATAGGTATCAAAAGCAAGATACTACATAGTTTTAGGGATTAATAAATTTATAGAAAAGAGAAAAAGTAGAACAGGTAAGGAAAATGGGAATTTAGGGGGGCTGTATCTTAAATAGGGTAGTCACAGTAGACCTCACTTGGAAGATGCCATATAAAGAAAACTGTAAAGGATAAGGAGTTAGTAAATCAAATGCTGGGATGAGGGTTAATAACTTTTTCACCTTAAAGATAAGAATAGGAAAAGAAGCAAGAGCACTAGCTCCAACTCCAATCTGCAACAGCAGAATCCACTGGAGAATATTACAAAAGGTATAGATTCCTAAGTTCTCTGATGAGGTGACATGCTCATTTGACTTCTAAGCTTTAAGTAAAGTAAGATTTCAAGCAATGAGCACTCTCAGGCTTAGGAAATGATTGTGGCTTCATTCAAAAACCACCAAAACCTCTTTAAGTGAAACAAGCAGGTAGAACAAAAAATACATAGGCTTTAAGAGTCAAGACAGGCCTGGTTCAAAACCTCAGTTCTTCCCATACTAGCCTTGCAACCTTGAACAAGTTCTGTTACCCCTGCAAGAAGTATGTACATGAAATTGGGAGTTGTTGTGACAGGGCTACTAATGCCCGTGGCCTTCTTACACATTCTACATCAGCTCCCTCCCACTCTTCCTTCCCCTCCCCATCCTGAATGGTAACACTCACCAATCTCTGAACCCTGTAACACTGCTCTAAGGGCTACTATAGCTTCGATAATGCCCAAGTAGAGGTAATAAGTACATTCTAACAGCTGATTTTAAAAACTACTAGTGGCTTCTACCAATAAAATACTGCATTCAAAGGAAAAGATGTTAGTGTCAAAGTTAAAATGTCCTATCACAAGACAAACAATTCTTAGTCAAAGAAGCAGTGTGTTCCCAGGTAGCTACTCCATATAAAAAAGCCAAGTCAAGAAGTAAGATTTTGAAAACTATTATTACCCCAAGCTTCGGCATGTTGGATCGCTTCAGTCGACCTATTTTGGACCAGTGAGGAACTTTGCATACATTAATTCTCTGCAGGAGCACTTCCAGTTCAAATCCATAAATATTATGACCCTAGTCAGAAAAAGACGGCAGCCAATAACATTATAACAAACGCAAATTAGAGGATTTATCTTCATATGCACAGAATTTCTTTGCCCTTTCTTTTTCTGGTCTCTAATTGAAGGCATCATGAGCTTACCTCCGATTGGGGTCCTTTCTTCTCCAGGAATGTATTCATCAGCAGCATTCATTAGCCTTGACATTAACAAAGCTGCTAAGCAGATTGCTGGAATAAACTTTATTTCATCCTAATTGATGCAAGGTTCATATGATGTCTTTTTAATTTGCAGCTCATACCTCACAGTCGCAGAGGCAAAATGCAAATTTTTATGTCCCATACTTTCTGTGATCAGTAAAAGCTGTGTTCAAATAATTCCATTTTAATTCCTTAAAAACTGAGAACCTGCCTGTGTTGTTTAACAGTTTACATAGACTTCTTAGAAAACTCAGGAACAGTATCTACTTTCTTCTTAAAGAAATGAGTTCAAACACTACTGATTTAGACTCTTAATCAATATAAAACAAAACATATAATACCACACAATAGTTCAAATTAGGAAACAAAACTATACCAAGTAGAAATTCTCTTAAGAATGCAACTAGGGGCACCTGGGTGTCTTAGTCAGTTAAGCATTCAACTCTTCCGCTCAGGTCTTTTTTTTTTTTTTTTCAAGATTTTATTTATTTATTCATGAGAGAGTCAGAGAGAAAAGCAGAGACATAGGTAGAGGGAGAAGCAGACTCCCCACAGGGAATCCAATGTGGGACTCAATCTCAGACCCCAGGATCATGCCCATGCCCTGAGCCGAAGGCAGACGCTCACAGCTGAGCCACCCAGGCATCCCTCGGCTCAGGTCTTAACCTCAGAGTTGTGAGTTCAAGCAACACTCTGAGCATGGAGCCTACTTAAAAATAACTAAAAATGCAAAAATTTTCTGTCTATAATGATAATTTCCATCATGTGAATAATATGGTTCATAGTCTATGTTTATTAAGAAACTAGATGAAAAAAAATAAGAAACTAGATAAAGTTTAAAATAAATCAGAGGGCAACCCAGGTGGCTCAGCGGTTTAGCATCGCCTTCAGTCCAGGGTGTGATCCCGGAGACCTGGGATCAAGTCCCATGTCAGGCTCCCTGCATGGAGTCTGCTTCTCGATCTGCCTGTGTCCCTGCCTCTCTCTCATGAATAAATAAACAAAATATTAAAAAAAATAAATCAGAGCAATAAATAGATTTACTTGTTATTAATTTTAATTAAAAATGTGTACCACTATGTATTTATGGCAGTTTTGTTTATTAATTTAAGAAATCCGGGGATCCTGGGTGGCGCAGCGGTTTGGCGCCTGCCTTTGGCCCAGGGCGCGATCTGGAGATTCCGGATCGAATCCCACGTCGGGCTCCCGGTGCATGGAGCCTGCTTCTCCCTCTGCCTATGTCTCTGCCTCTCTCTCTCTGTGTGTGTGACTATCATAAAATAAATAAAAATTTAAAAAAAATTTAAAAAAAAAAAAAGAAATCCGGGGATCCCTGGGTGGCTCAGTGGTTCGGCGCCTGCCTTTGGCCCAGGGCGCGATCCTGGAGTCCCGGGATCGAGTCCCGCATCGGGCTCCCGGCATGGAGCCTGCTTCTCCCTCTGCCTGTGTCTCTGCCTCTCTCTCTTATCTGTGTCTATCATAAATAAATAAATCTTTAAAAAAAAAAGAAATCCAAGGACATGAGGAAGTCTCATTTCCAAATGATCATTCCTGGGATTAGGGACTCACACCAGTGTCAGGATTCTCTTATCAGTTTGGATTTCTCACATGAAGACTTGAGTCTAACACCCTAAGGCAGGCCAGCTATCCTAAGCACCAGGACATCTCCTTGGGGCCTGAGAGAGACTGCTAGGGGAAACTGGGTGAGGACCTAGTTCTGAGCAAAAGCACCAAAGCAGGACACTGTGGACACAATCTTCCTGGTCCTTTTAAGATGTATTAACAAATATGTAATACCTAGAATACTGGAAGAGAAGCAGGTACAGACACTGATAACAACCTACAAGCTCTAGGTACTTTGGCCACACCATAGTCAAGAAAGGTATCCAAGAGCAGAAGTGAATGTGGAGAAATGAACAGCATACCTTTTTGCAAGGGATTAATATTACCAAATTACCAATATCACACTTAAAATACATGCCTTTATATCCTACTTTCCTCCAAAAAAATCAAAAGCACAACATAATCTGAGTAACTGAAAAAAAAGGGAAGAAATCACATCAAAGAGCCTATAAACTAAACCCAGAGGAAACATAAAGCAAAATGTTGATTTATGACTCTTAAAAACTGGGGCAAATGTAACTCAATGAATTATTACCTCTTTCATCTAGTGGGAATATAGTTGGTTATGAAGAGAGAAATAAATTCCTATCCTGACCTCAAAGAATAGTAGGTCACAGAAATCCACTGAGCTCCAGGTATGGGGCTGGCTCAGTTGGTAGAATATGTGACTCTTGATCTTGGAGTTTAAGTTTGAGTCCCACTTTGGGTTGTAGAGATTACTTAAAAAAAAAAAAGATCCATTGAGCAAATAAAACTCAAATACTTACACTTTGGAAACTGATACCAAATTGAGGGAATTAATTCCTATGACCAATATACAGCTGGGCCACTAACCCAAAATTTTACTTTTTTAAAAAAAGATTTTATTTATTCATGAGAGACACAGAGAGACAGAGACATAGGCAGAGAAGAAGCAGGTTCCCATGCACGGAGCCCAATGTGGGACTCGATCCAGGGACTCCGGGATCACGCCCTGAGCCAAACACAGACACTTAACTGCTGAGCCATCCAGGCATCCCTAACCCAAAATTTTAGAGAAACCAACAGTTAACACAAGTTTACTTACTTATAGGCTGGACTCATAAGTGGAAATAACTGGAATATCCTAAACTTCAACAATAACTCATGAGTTCCTTCTCTATTAGAGAAAAACAACTACTTTCTAGTGGGCTGGCTCTTTTTCCCCCCTCTTACTTTTAGCAGAAACTATAGTAATTCCCACCAGTCCATAGGGTCATTTCACTCTGATTCAAGATTCAAAAAATATATAAAGAACTCATAAGCTGAACAATCAAAAAAAAACACCCAGTTAAAACACAGACAGAGGACTTAAATACAAATTTTCCCAAAGAAGACATACAGATGGCCAACAGGCACATGAAAAGTGTTCAACGTCACTAAGTATTAGGGAAATGCAAATCAAAACCACCTCAATACCTATTAGGATGGCTATTACCAAAAGGACAAGAAATAACAAGTGGAAAGGATGTGGAGAAAAAGGAACGCTCCTGCACTGTTGGTAAGAATGTGAATTGGTGTAGCCACCACAGAAATCAGTTTGGAGAGTCCTCAAAAAATTAGGAATAGACTGGATGCCTGGGTAGCTCAGCAGTTGAGCATCTGCCTTTGGTTCAGGGCGTGATACCGGAGTCCTGGGATTGAGTCCCACATCGGGCTTCCTGCATGGAGCCTGCTTTTCCCTCTGCCTGTGTCTCTGCCCCTCTCTCTCTGTGTCTGTCATGAATAAATACAATCTTAAAAAAAATTAAGAATAGATCTATAATCCAATTCAGCTATTCTACTTTAGGTATTTATATGAATGTGAAAACACCAATTAAAAAAGATATATGTAGCCCTATTTTCATTTGTAATAGCCAAGATATCAAAACAACCATCAATGGATGAATGGATACAGAGGATGTATTACACACACACACACACACACACACACACACACACACACACACAGGAATATACTCAGCCATAAAGGAGAATGAAATCATGCTTTTTCCAACAACATGAACGGACCCAGAGGGCATTAAGCTAAGTGAAGTAAGTCAGTGGAGAAAGACAAATACTGTATGATTTCACTCAAATGTGGAATCTAAAAACAAACGAACAAACAAAACTATACAAAAACAAACTCACTGATACACAGAAGAGACTGCTAATTACTAGAGCAGAAGGGGCTTGGGAGGTGGGCAAAAAAGTGAAGAGGACCAACTTTATGGTGATGGATGGCAACTAGTCTCTTGGTGGTCATCACTTTGGAGTGTATACAGATGTCAAATTATACTACTATACACCTGAAACTTAAATAACGTTATATACCAATTTTACCTAGATTAAAAAGGTTCTCTGCTGCTCAACAGTACTGAAAAGAACTAATAAGGAATGAAAGGTTCCCCAATGGCATGATGAGATATCTACTCACCACAATGATATCAGGATCAATTTTGTGAACTTTGGCGAGGAAAAAACCTAGCAATGTTCTTTCTGTTGCAGCAATCTCAACCTTCACATTCTGTTAGATAAAAATATACCAGTCACTTACTCTTAAAGTATTACACTTAGCTCCTTGTTCAAGCAGGGTTAGATTTCTTGGAATTAAAAGAATCCATCCAGGGGCACCTGAGTGGCTCAGTCAGTTAAGCATCTGCCTTTGGCTCAGGTCATGATCCCAGGGTCCTGGGATCAAGCCCTGCATATGGCAAAACTAAAGGAAGCAATGAAATTGCTTATTCTGGGTTTCACAATGTACTGCCAAAAGTCTATGAGGAGCTCATTCTAGTAATAAGTGTGTAAATAAAGCAAAAAATGCTGAGCATTATGAAGTACAGATATATCCCCCGACATCCACACCATCCTCCTTTTCCCTTTCCAAATAGATGCTTCATATTTAAAAAATAAATAAATAATGAGTTATTTACCTTTTCCTTAATGTAGTCTTTGAAAGTATATGGGAAAATACAGTCCTTTGGTTTAGATACAACTGTAAGAAAAAAAAAAGTTTCCATCACCACCTCTGTCCAATTTCAAGTACACATATGCTGCATGTTTCCAAATGGAAACTGTCTTAAATATAAACAAATATCCCCTAATCTCTAAAGAGTTAAAAGATTCAAGTATTTCCATTGGTCATGTTGTTAGACCTCAAAAGAAAAGCCAGAACAAACAATCCTAAGATTCATTATAGAACCAAAAAGATCCCAAATAGCCAAAGCAATCTTGGGAAAGAACAAAAAAGCAGGAAGCATTATGCTCCCTGATTTCAAACTATACCACAAAGCTATAGTAATCAAAACAGTATGATACTGTCATAAAAATAAACATCTAGATCAATGGAACAGAACAGAGAGCCCAAAAATTAATGGATGCATATATGGTCAATTATGACAAAGGAGATATGAATATACAATGGGAAAAAAGTCTCTTTACTAAATGGTAATATGAAAACTAGACAGTCACATGCCAAAGAAGGAAACTCGACCACAATCTTACACCATACACAAAAACTAAGTGAACATCCATTAAAGACTTGAATACAAGGACTTGAAACCGTAAAACTCTTAGGAGAAAACAGGCACGCTCCCTGACACTGGTCTTGGCAATGTTTTTTTTGGATTACATCAAAAGCAAAAATAAGCAAGTGGGACTAGATCAAAATAAAAAGCTCTTGCACAGCAAATGAAACCATCAAAAAAAGAAAAGGCAACCTAACAAGAGAAAATGTTTGCAAACCATGTATCTGATAAGAGGTTAATATCCATAATATACAAAGAACTCCTATAACTCAAGAGCAATGAATCAAACAATCCAATTAAAAAATGGGCAAAGGCTGGGATACCTGGCTGGCTCAGTCAGTAGAGCAAATGACTCTTGATCTCAGGGTCTTGAGTTCAAGCCCCACACTGGGCATGGAGCCTACTTTAAGAAAATGGGCAAAGGCTCTAAATAAACATTTTTTTCAAAGAAGACCTACAGATGGCCAACAGGTACATGAAAAAGTGGTCAATATCACATTCATCAAGGGCAATCAAAACCACACTGGGATATCACCTCACACCTGTCAGAATTGCTATTATCAAAAAGACAAGAGGGGTGCCTGGCTGGCTCAGTCAGTAGAGCATGTGACACTTGATTTGATGTCAGGGTCATGAGTCCTAGCCCCACCTTGGGCATGGAGCCTATTTAAAAAACAACAACAACAAATAAGTGTTGGCTAGGATGTAAAGGAATCCCTTGTATACTGTTAGTGGGAATGTAAACTGGTGCAACAGCTGTGGAAAACAGTATGGAGGTTCCTCAAAAAATGAAAAACAGAACTTCCATTATGATCTAGGTATTCCACTTCTGGGTATTTGTCTGAAGAAAATGCAATCACTAACTCAAAAAGATATCTGTACGCCCATGTTCATTGCAACATTATTTACAAGAGCTAGGAAATGGAAGCAACCTAAGTGCCCATCAATGGATGAACGGATAAAGAAAAGTGGTATATTTATACAGTGGCACATTATTTGGCCATACAAAAGAAGAAAAATCTTGCCATTTGTAACATGGATAGACTATGAAAGGCATCATGCTAAACGAAGAAAGTCAGACATATAAAGTAATACTATATGATCTCACTTATATGTGCAATCTAAAAAAACAAAGTGAGGTCATAGATACAGATAACTGACTGATGGTTGCCAAAGGTGGGGTGGGATGTGGGGTAGAGGGGGGACTGGGTGAAGAGGGTCAAAAGCTACAAATTTCAGTTATAAAATAAGTCACAGAGATGTAACGTACAGCATGGTGACTATAGTTAACAATACTATATTGCATGTTTGAAAGTTGCCAAGAGAGTAAATCTGACAAGTTCTCATCACAAGAAAAACAATTTTCTATGATGATAGATGTGAACTAGATTTATTGTGGTGATCATTGCAAAATACATACAATTATCAAATTGTTATGTTGTACACCTGAAACTAAAATGTTACATGTCATTTACACAATTTTTAAAAATTTTAACAGATTAGATTAAAAAAGTAGCCATGCATAGAACCCTAAGTCCCTATAATTGTTTAAAACTACTTTCATGAAACATCTTCTGTCCAAGTCAGAATGAAGGAAGTTTAACAGTCTTGCCCACAGGGAATCCCCACATCATCAAACCCTTAACCAGTACACAATGAAGGAAGTCCAACCTTCTTCAAGTTAGAAGAATAAAATGACCAAAGCTTCCTTCACTATACTTTAAGTTCCATGCCACTCAAAACAGCTATTTACATCATGATATACACAAAGCAAGTGAATAAATACATGTTGAGTGAGCTCATGGTTGCTCTCTTCTGTGTATTTTCCAGAATACTCTCACCATTTTTTGTTCTATGTATTATTCTACCTCACTCAAAGAGTGAAACTTCACAACAGTACACGATATTCCCTTCTATGCTTGTTTTTCTAATCCCACTTTCCTAATATCCACAAAATAAGACAGGAGATGCTGTCCCAGGTAACTGCTGGTCTAGGCTGGAAAAGATTTCAGGAAACATATCAATAGTGTTATGGCCTTCCTTTGTTTACAAAAAAATGGTTATTTAATTGGCCATAGTCTCAACATGGAATAGGTCAGAATCCTCCTTGAAGACTATTCATGGCATTGCAGATTTCTGTGTGATATTTTCACCAACTGAATTTTATGCATAGCAAACCCAACTCTAATTTGATATGCTGTAACTCCTCCCAAATAGGGAGACATTCATTTATGCCCTGGCATATTGCCTCACCATACAGAAAACTTTGATCAGGCTTCTATTCTGGGCTTTAGAATGACATCATGTAAGGAAATAGTGATAACATAATTTTGACCCAGGGAAAAAAAAGTAGAGTACCCCAATAACATAACCATTGGAACGGAAAAGAGATGTCAAATTGCCTCCCAAATCTGCTCCTTGAACAAAACCAGCTGAATAGGAACCACCAATCCAATATAACTCAGTGTCCACAGCTGACAAAAATAAAACTCCTTTAATAATACATACTAATAACTAGTCTTGAAATCAAGCCATTAGAAGACCAGCTAAAAAAGTACATACCACAGAAATGTGACTGGAAGGGAGGCTGTGGGGCCGCTTTATCTAATGCAAAGCTGTGATGGACCAAAGCTGCCACAGCAATAATCTGCAAATAAAAGAGGGGAAAAGATCACTTACTGGATGCCTACTATGCATTCTGCATTTTCATCAAAACCACCAAGAATATTAAAAGATAAACATTTTAATCCATATGAATATTTTAACTTTTTATTATGAAAAGTATTTAAACAAACAAAAAATAGAGAAACTAGAAGGGGAGAGGACGGGAGAGAAACTTAGAACCATTAATGTCCAACCTGGAACTAGAAGCCAGGGCTCCTGACTCCCAGCCAGGGATCTCAAAAGAAAACAGGTAAGTTATGTTTAAAGACTTCATTATTTTTTTTTCCAAAGATTTTATTTATTTATTCATGAGACACAGAGAGAGAGAGAGAGGCAGAGACATAAGCAGAGGGAGAAGCAGGCTCCCCGCAGGGAGCCTTATGCGGGACCCCAGTATCATGATCTGAGCCAAAGGCAGATGCTCAGATACCACTGAGGCACCCAGGTGCCCCAAAGACTCATTCTTTAAAAAACAAGCTATAGTTATGTGTGACCAATAATCTGGAGGATGCCAACCATGGACATAGCTAGGGAAGAGGGGCTGTGGGTATTATTCATTTTCTTTTTAAAATTTGTACTTTCTAGGGTACCTGGCTGCCTCAGTCAGTAGAGCACGTAATTCACTCTCCCACAGGGGCTGATCCTCAGAGCATCCCAAGAACCTTCCCTAACCAGTGATATCTTCCTGGCCTCCCAAGCTAGGGCAGGTTCCTTTAGTAGATGCTATCCAGAGTACGTGTATCCTTCTGTAAGTTTTACATCTATTTCTGCTATTGGGCTAGTATCTGTCTCCTCCTCTGTTTTTATGAGTCACAAGTATTCCATCACAGTAGCACATGGTTTAGAAACATTTGCTGAGTCAACAACTTTACTAACCAAATAAGTTAAATCCTTAGGAAGCCATCTAATTTACACAGGGCTGCAAAATCTCTCTCCCATTCATTCATTCAACATTTACTAAGAGAGAAAAACAGCACAATCACTCTATAGGGTGATATACCTATCACCCAACTTCAATTATCAACTCTTCAATATCTCTATCTACTTCTTGCCTCTATCCAGATGATTTAATTTTTTTTAAATTTATTTATGATAGAGAGAGAGAGAGAGAGAGAGAGGCAGAGACACAGGCAGAGGGAGAAGCAGGCTCCATGCACCGGGAGCCCGACGTGGGATTCGATCCCGGGTCTCCAGGATCACGCCCTGGGCCAAAGGCAGGCGCCAAACCGCTGTGCCACCCAGGGATCCCTATCCAGATGATTTTGAAGCAAAACCCAGACCCATCACTTTATCCACAAATATTTCAGCATGTATCTCTAAAACAAGGTTTCTCAACCTCAGCACTATGGACATTTTTGACCAAATAATTCTTTGTTATGGTGGCTATTCTGTTCACTGTGGGATGTTTAGCAGTATCCCTGGCTGCCAACAACACCACCTTCCACCCCCAAATTGTGACAACCAAAAACGTCTCCAGACCTGGCCAAATGCCCCTTAAAGGGCAAAAATCTCACCCCACTGAGAACCACTACTTCAAAAGATAACAAGTTGTTAAAATAAAACACAATCATAGTTAATATGGTTAACAGTAATTCCTTAAAATCACTAAATATCCAGGTAAGATTCAAATTTTTCATGTTTTCCCAACAATCTCAATTTTATTTACCAAGTAAGCCCATACTCTGCGATTGGTTGATATGTAAAACTATAGGCACAACCCCTCCCCACCTATTATTTTCCTGCAATTCATCTGTTGAAGAAACTGGGTCATTTGTCTCATAAAATACCCCATGGTATCAATTCTGCTGCTTGTATCCCAATAATACCATCTAACATGTTCCTCTATTTCTACACTGCTGGTGAATTCATATTTAGATCTGAAGGCCTGATCAAAATCATATTCAGTTTTTTGGCACAAATATGTTAGAGTTGCCACTGATTGCTTCTATTAGACAGCACAGGCACATCATGTCTGGTTAGCTCTCTTTTAGTGATACTAGCAGCCACTGGTGATCACTGGCTACATCTATTATTTCACGGGGGATTGCAAAGTCATAATATTCAATTTCTCAATCATTTCTTGGATGGAAACCTTCTATGAAGAGACACTTCCCTTTATCGATTATTTGATTACCTGAGGTACAATATGAGTTCAAAAAGGTCAAGAGAAATGCTAGACTCAATCCCTTCATTGACCAGTTTCCAAACCAGTGAGTTGGTTCCCCAGCCACCTTCCCAGATGACCACTGCAGGGTCACTTGCGCTTATGGTATCAGGGTGAACTCATCTGTCTCAATCTGCTGCAGCCATCTATATCCATGCTCAAACTATTCCATCTTTGGCCATTGGAAAACTCTTCAAGTTGACTCCTGAGCTCTTGTGACACATCTTCAGTAGATTTTAATATTGTCCTGGCTTTCTAGTAGAACTAGATACTTCAGGCTCATCTTGGACACTTTCTGCCCTGAATCAGCAATTTCTCTGAAGCCCTACTTCCTTTCTTGTGAAATGGTACTGCAAAGCCTCACTCTGAAGGCTAGAAGACAGGTACTTTTTTTTATTTAACAAATCACTGGTCAATATTGCATGTAATGCAGGGCCCCAACTTCCTACTCAGAAAATTGGCAATGAAAAAGAAAGTACACAATGACCTCATCTTTCCTGTACAAACTACTGCAGCATAACCAAATAGTGATTAACAAGGAAAAGTTAATGTTACAGAAAAATTTAACTAATAAACATTCTAATATTTTTGTAAAGATTTTATTTATTCATCAGAGAGAGAGAGAGGCAGAGACATAGGCAGAGGGAGAAGCAGGCTCCCCATGGGGAGCCTGATGCAAGACTCGATCCCAGGATTCCGGGATCATGACCTGAGCCAAAGGCAAATGCTCAACCATTGAGCCACCCAGGTGCCCCTAAACATTCTAATATTTAACATGTTTAATAAATAAACATGGAAAGGATGACAAAATTAAAACACTGTTTTACAACTTCTAATGAAATAACTCATTCAGGTAAAAAAATGAAGGGGGGAGTCATTAGATCAATGGTTCTTAAATGGGAACAATTTTGCTACCCACCCCCAGAGGACAGTTGGAGATGTGTGGAGGTATTTTTGGTTATTACAAGTAGGGGGGAGGGGTGTTAACTGGCATCGGGGAGAGGCCACAGTTACTGCTAAACATCCCATAATGCCCAGGACAGCCCTCACAACAATGAATAATTCAGCCCAACACATTAGTGACAAGGTTAAAAACTTCTCTTTCAGATGAAAACTTGAACCCACTAATCAATCACAGCACCACTAACAGTGGTTTCACCAGACATTACATGCCTGCTGATGTATTATGCAGTATAAAATATATCATACACCTATAGAGCACACTAACCCAAAAAGTCAAAACTGAATCTAATAAATTATTTAGTACTAACTAGTAGCAGGGGTAGGCAAACTGGTTCTGTAAAGAGCCAAGTACTAAGTATTTTAGGTTTTCAGGTCACATGGCCACTGTCATGACTAGTAACTACAGCAACTGAAGCTGTGAACTAATAGGCAGGATGTCTTTCAATTAAACTTTATTTACAAAAACAGATGGTGAGGCTGGATTTGCCCACAGGCCATACCGTGCCAACCCCTGGTACACAGGAAGAAGTCCAATGACACGAGGAAGCAAACAAACAGAAAATGGGACATTCTATAAGACAATAAACAGTGATTCTTAAATAAGTCAATGTCAACAGAAAGAGAGTGGGAGGAAGCTGCTCCCATTTAAAAGAGATTCAAGAGACATAAAAAATTAAACATCGGGATCCCTGGGTGGCGCAGCGGTTTGGCGCCTGCCTTTGGCCCAGGGCGCGATCCTGGAGACCCGCGATCGAATCCCACATCGGGCTCCCGGTGCATGGAGCCTGCTTCTCCCTCTGCCTGTCTCTCTCTCTCTCTCTCTCTCTCTGTGACTATCATAAGTAAATAAAAAAATTTAAAAAAAAAAATTAAACATCTGTGAATCTTACATGAATCCTGATTCAAGGAAACCAACTGGTAGAAAACATTTTTGAGTCAGTAATGTTGTTACTAACTATATGGTAATACAGATGGTTACTAGGCCTATCAGGGTGATTATTTTGTAGTGCATAAGAACATCAAATCACTATGTGGTACACCTGAAACTAATGGATGTCAAAAATAATCCCAAAAGACATTTTTGATAAAAAGAACCATATGAATATGGACTGAGTATTTTATTTTTAGACAGGATCAAGGTATCACTGGTATAGTTATTAAGTGCAATAATGGTATTCTACAAGAAAGCGTATATGTTTTGAGAGATGCATGCCAAAGTATACAATGGTAAATTACACAATATCTGACCTTAGCTTTTAGAATACTTCCAGCAGGGAAAACAAAGTGGAAGGAAAACAAGTGTGACAAAATCTTGCTTACTACTGAATGAGTAAAAGGATTATGGAAGTTCATTATATTATTCCAAGTCCACTTAAAGTTTTCTAAAATAAAAAATTCAAATAACAAAAAAATAAAAATAAGTCCAGAAATTTAAGTCTTTAAAGAAAACTCCAACACCCAACAAATTCAATTCTATCTCCAAAATGGAGTTTGGGAGTACATTAGTATTCTTTCTTCTCCAGAAAGAATAATATCCCCTTGTAGAATAGTTGTACAAGTTCAAGAAAGCATTGCATTAAAGCATAGGTACAGGGGTACCAGGGTGGCTTAGTAGCTGAGCATCTGCCTTTGGCTCAGGTCATGATCCCAGAGTCCTGGGATGGAGTCCCACCACTGGACTCCCCATGGGGAGCCTGCTTCTCCCTCTATGTCTCTGCCTCTGTGTCTTTCATGAATAAATAAATAAAAATCTTCAAAAATTTTCTGGGATCCCTGGGTGGCTCAGTGGTTTGGCACCTGCCGTGGGCCCAGGGCGTGATCCTGGAGACCCAGGATCGAGTCCCACGTCGGGCTCCCTGCATGGAGCCTGCTTCTCCCTCTGCCTGTGTCTCTGCCTCTCTCTCTCTCTGTCTCTCATGAATAAATAAAATCTTTTTTAAAATCTTCAAAAACAATTTTAAAAAGCATAAGTACAAATTTCTTTACCTCATGTTGATGTGTCTTTGCATTCTGCATTGTCTTCATGCTGAAAGACATGACCACGAGTGGAGGAGGACCAATATCTTTAATTACATTCACCAGGTCTGGTTTCAAGGCCATTGCCTCAACTTTACACCAACTGACTGGCTGATTCAAGAGCTCTGAAAGAGAACAGATAAAACAGATCAATAGCCATTTGTTGAAAAAGGAAAACTACTATAATTAAGATATCTGTGATTAACTGAGAAAGTCTTCAACCCCATATTCCCATAAGAATGTCTTATTACAACATCTAACTAAAAATAAGTCCGATTATTGGGTTGTATGCAAAGTCATGTGTATGTACAGTATTTTCATCTTCCTGAGAAAAAGGTCCTCAGCTTTCATCTGATTTTCTTAAGAATCCAGGACCCAGGGATCCCTGGGTGGCGCAGCGGTTTGGCGCCTGCCTTTGGCCCAGGGTGCGATCCTGGAGACCCGGGATCGAATCCCACGTCGGGCTCCCGGTGCATGGAGCCTGCTTCTCCCTCTGCCTGTGTCTCTGCCTCTCTCTCTCTCTGTGTGTGTGACTATCATAAATAAATAAATAAAAAAATTAAAAAAAAAAGAATCCAGGACCCAAAGAAGTTTTTTTAAAAAAATAAAATGCCACCCTAGAGGAATCACAAAACATTTTTTTTTCACAAAACATTTTTGAGAGATTCATGTAGCCAAAACAGAGTATCACAAATGCAAATACTGGAAAACATGAGGTAAAAAACCAAACGAGCACTAGCCACATCAGGCAGTGATGCTTTCCCTCCTTCAGAGTCAGCAGTCCACTACGTATAGCAGGTGGGCTTCATCGGCCAGGTCAGAAGTACATGCCAACAATAGCACAAAGAGAGATGCATGCAAACGACCACCTGGGCTAACGCCTCTCCCACTCAACTGCTAGGCACCACAGCAATAAAGTAGATCCAAACACATTCCCAATACTCACTTAAGGAACATCTTGTGGAAAACAACATAAAAAAGGAAGGAGAGGCACTGAAACACAAAGACCAATTCCTTAACTTCTAAAAATCTCCTCTATCAGCAACCTGGCTTTCCAAACGTAAATTTTTCCTTACGTGGATTTTTCACCTCGAGCCAACAAGGTCCCTTGATCTTTCTGTTCATCAAGAACATTTCTAGGCTGGATGTGTTGGTCCCAAACACATGAGAAAAAGTTTCTCCTTTCAAATCCTGAGGAAGCTGTGGCATTTCAGCCTGAAAAAGGCAAAGAAGAAAAAAAAACCCTTTTTTGTTTAAAACTATTACTTTACATTTTCCCAAGTCTATATTTGAAATAAACAAAAGCCTCTTTATGAACCTCCAGAAGAAACCCCTTTGATATATATGAAATGTAATTTGCAATACATGAAATCCAAAACAATTCACAGGACACAAAAACAATTCACAATGACAAAATAATGCATCTTGATGGCACTCATTAGAAGAAAAATAGGCCAAGAAGCTCCCCCAAAAGAGGATTTCTGTCCAGAGCTGTACATGCCTTACTGATAAAGAATAGCCAAGTAAGTACCACTCCATTGGAAGAATAAAAGCAAGAGAGTGGAACTCATTTAAAATGCTTCTATGGTACTTTTCATCACCACTGTCAGAAACATTTCTTAGAAGTTTCCCTTTTCCAACATCATGAGATCAAAACTCTATAACAGAGGTAAAAAGAGGTTAAGGCCCAGTTAATTAATGTCCCACAGCAATGACCCTGCCTATCAGAGGAGCAAGAGCAGCACTACAGTGCCGCTGACGTTCCTCTCTTTTCTGCTGCTCAGAAGGGACACTTCAACAGACTAATGATATTCAACTCCACCACATGGCATTCATTCCACTTGACAAGCAGTTGTGCAGTTTCAACTCACTTATTTAAAGATGTATACTTAAGGGGTGCCTGGGTGGCTCAGTCGGTTAAGCATCTGCCTTTGGTTCAGGTCATGATCCCAGGGCCCTGGGATTGAGCCCTGCGTCAGGCTCCCCACTCAGCAGGGAGTCTTTCTCCCTCTCCTTCTGCCTCTCCCCCCTACTCATGCTCTCTCACTCTCCCTCCTCTCAAATAAATAAGTAAAATCTTTAAAGATGCATACTTGAAAGCCGAGAAAGGCAGTAAAACTAATGATCTATATATTCAAATTAATTGTATCCATTTTAATTACTCATTACTATAAGTCCACCCCAATGAACTGTGGGCTTGAGGAGTCCTGCTGATACTAATTGAAATTTCAAATATAGAGAAATGTCATTCTCAACCAAAACCCAGTAACTTTCTTTGACTTACCGAGTATCTAACTTCCAAGTACTCAGATTTTTCTGGAACATCAGGTATCTCAAAAGCATAATTCTTTTCCACTGGCTGGGTAAGTAGATATTTAAAAATAATTAAGAAAAATGCTTTTCACAAATTAAAATGACAAGCATATACACAGCACACGTCCCTATATTTGACACTGAGGAACCCAGTAACCTCATGGAACACAAAGGTAAATAAAGCCAAAAGGGCACCCTTTCCCACTTTCCATTGGGCCTAAACACCCAGTGACAAAATGCTAAAAAGACTTCTCTTGGACACTAGAGAACTTGGAAATGTTTGCATTCAAGAAGGGCAATAAAAGATTAAAAATATTTATAATGTTAATGTATTAAATCATTTGCTACTCTTTGATACTAACCAACTCCATCTTGAATGGAGAATTAATATTAGCATTAAAATTATAGCTCATATTTACTGAGTGCTTACTAAGTACCACGGACTATTCTAATCACCTAATAAGAATTCAATGGCTTAATTCTTGCAAGAACTTTTTTTTTCTTCCAACAACTCTTGATATAGGGTCCCATTTCTCAGGTGAACAAATAGGCCCAGGAAAGTCACTCAGCCCTTCTCCAAGGTCACACACTACAAAGTCCTAGGGCTAGGACTGAAAGCACTAGCAGTCTGGTCCCAGTATCTATGCTCTTTACCATTATACCACACTATTTCTAGAATTTTAGAAGATTTATCCATCAGCCATAATTCAAAGCTCAAATAGTTAAGATGATTAACCTTATCTTCAGCAACTCAATCCTCCCTTTGCTGCAATCACTGTTAAAAGTATCCTGAATTACAAGCCCCTATGATGATGGCCAAAGGTCGTCCTTTATTGCACTAAAATCAAGACCAATCAATATGTAACACATAAATAAAAGATTTTTATTCTATCGGAAACAGCATCATAGTCCCTGATTTTTAAATATAAAACCTTAACCTTCAGACCAAAACAACCTGCCAATAACTAATAAAAACAAGATCATAAGAATTTCTTCTCCATTTCAGAAAAAGAATACAAGATATGCTGCAAGTATGATTACTATGTGTTATCTTTCTATTCAAATTCACGAAAATTATTTTCCAAGAGAAAAAAATATTTTTACCAATCTTACGTATTAGTTTTACATTCATACCTATGAAATTTCCAATGAATTATAGCCCCAAAAAAGACATTTTTCACAAAGAAGATATACAGTAATTATTTTGTAAGTCAGGAAATGAACAAATAAAAAACAGCAGGAAAAAATTATCACCAAATACAAACCTTAGACTTGAACTTCATGATTTTATATTTTGCTGCTATTTTCTCATCAAATTCATCATAAACATCCTTCATTGTAACTAGAGTTTCTGTTTCTTTTCCTGTATTTAGATCAATTTTCTGCTCTCCCATGGAGAGGAGAGGGGAGGGAAAAAAAGTATCTGTACATGAGATCTTTTTAACAACAAGAAACCCATGTCTAATTCAATTTTCAGCTTCAGCCATTTAAACATTTAGAAGAACAGTCTTAGAGGAGTTCAAAGATACCAGGAGACCCCCAAAAATACTAACCCCAATGCCCAAATCTTCCCAGTGGCATCATAAAAGCACATAAGATAAAAATGACTGATTCTACAAAATGGGAGAATAGTGTGGTAAATCCTGACCAAGAAGCTTCACATTCACAGTTCAACTGAGATCTCAGGGGAGGGACTGGGCTTAGGAGGGGAGTGTGGATGCTAAGTCGTAATTTAAAAAGGAGGAGCAAATGGAGCTAAGCTGGTTCAACGGCCGTGGATGGAACAGTACTGCTGCCTGCACAGCAGAAGCATGACAACTGGGCCAAATGCCATGTGACAGTTTAAAGCCATATACTCCCAATCCTGATTACTATGGAAATGAGGGGTGGGGGAGAAGATACCATTATACACTAAAACCCACACTTTGACACTGTAATGGGTCGAAAAACACAGTTTTACTCCATTCTCTATTCTTCCCAGCCTCTAACAGAGCTGCTGACAACCAATGGTTACTAGGCAGGCAGCAAGAAAGAAGCATCTAGGCTATGGGTAAGTCATAGCCCCAGTGAAGAATACGATTGGTGGCAGAACATACAATGTACTTGGAATTAAAAGGCTAACCACTATCAATTACCATTTCTCGGGGAAGGAAGTAGAGTGTTCGCTCGATGTTTTTCACCATAACACAACAGCTCACATGGGTTTTGGCAGATTCAATCCAAACTTTGCCAAACAGAAATACCACACCTAAAAGAGTAAGAGAGGACCGTGAGAAAAGAAACATTTCAATTATATCACAATAAAGAGGCAATATAAAGGCTCACTGTATGTGTCCACACATTTATGCCTTCATGACACATTTTTTACAGTAAATTTGTATCTGCTGCCCACTCCGCAAGCCCAGTTCACTTACTCAGTACTTATACCACACAGTATCACACTAGTAAAACCTGTAACCATGGAGATGACAGGGGACAGAATATTCTCTAACTTGGTGTCAAGATTTTCCCTAGAATTAGAGACATCATAGGTAAATGGAGACAAACCTCAGTTACTGGGGAGACATCCCAAGTCCAAGTAGACACACACCTGAGGAAATACTGAGATACCCCAGGTGAGTGCAGAAACCCTGGGGAACTGGAGACACATCCCAGCTAAGTGTAGACATAGCTCAAATTAGAGATACCCTAGGTCAGTGTAGGGAAAAGAACTTCCCTAGAACCAGGACTACCCAGATTAAGAGAAACAAAGCAAACTATTCTCCAGTGAATCGCCTATTTAAATCTCTTGTGAAGTGTGAGAATACTACACATTGCTTTTTAGCACCTGTACTTACCAATAAAAATTAATATTCATGTATAAGAATAACGTTGTATGGTACATCAATTTTCCTATACGTAAAATTGCATTTAGAAAAAACATAATGTCATATACCTTATTTCATATAATGATAAATATCTAATAATAAGGCTCAACTATTATCTCATAGTTTACCCTTTCTACCTCACAGACTATTTAAAAATCTGGATAGGTAGTACTGGTCATGTTCCTTGCTCTTCTATTTCTGTACAACAAATGTTATAATAACCAAATTAGCAGACATGCCCCTTTTGAGATTCCTATGTAATATATACCACAAATTAAAAAACAAGCCTTTCTAAATAGACATCAAGTCACTGTTCCTGAAAGCTGGACATCAAGAAAGGACTCCAGAGATTTGATAGTCAACCTAAGAGATGGCCACTGTGCAAAATCCTGAGCTCTGTGCATAATTAGACAGCAGTAATCAACATAGCCACTCAACACAGCCACTTGTCTGAGACACTACGAAAATCCTGGCACATGCAAAGGCTACTGTTCACAAGGCCAATTACTCCAGTTTCACAAGATAGCTCATCAGTGCTTCCTTTTGTCAGTCATTCTAGTAGAAATAAGACCATCTAAAAATTTTCATTTCTGCAGATGATTAAAATTCTTAAAAGAGTTGTGTGATTTTCAGCTGGGGCGGGGGGATGAAGGGGAGAGGGAAGGGAGGACTGTGGGGAATGATTAAAAAAGAAAAAAAATCACAGGAGCTCAGAAAATTAAAAGTCATCCTCACAACAGTTACAGACGAAAAAACAAAATCCCATGCAAAGAAAAATAAAGACCCTAATATTGGATTCACAGATTCAAATAGCTCATTTAACAGTCAAACTAATATCACACTTCATGCACACATTTGACACTGTTTATGCCTCATTTGCCACAAAAAGATCATGGTAAACAAAGATTACATTCCCCCCAAAGTTACTAGCTGAAACCAGGTGCAGTCAGGATTATTCAACCTTGAAAAAGTCATAATGAAGACAGGATATCTTCCCATATGCAAAGAGTAAGATTCTTTTCATAATTATGGAGCATTCAGCAACAACTGACTTACTTAGAATCTGGAAGAAAGTGAGACACAATAACAGGGTCTTTGGGAGTACTTCGTTTTTATTAGCAGCATTGATTTCACCAAGGCTCAGTGATCATTACCTGCTATCATGATGAAACTGTTCAACCCCCTGAGATTAAAGGACTTAAAAAAAAACCTTTTTAACCCATTGGCATCAATCACAGAGGACACAGCTTAAGAAGTACCACAGAACAGCATAGTGGACTTAGGGTGAGAAGCCCAGAACTCTGCCACTAATGGTTGGCCACTTATCTTTTGGAGCCTTAGCTTCCTCCTCTATAACTACACTAGATTGTCTGAGGCCTTCTCCAGCACTAGAAATTTCCTTTTACCATAACATTTAAAAGATAGGCCAAGAACAGACTAGTACCTCTTTCAAATGTAAAATATTTCCCAACAGTGGTTGAAAAGGCCTATCCTTGACTATGGTAGTACCAGGAATTCAGTAACAATACATATCATAAGTTGGTTGCTTTCCCAATACAGCAATGCTTCAATGGCTCACTCCTAACCTCCAACACCTACTACTACAGATGAGCACTAGCCATTAGAAATTTCTGTGATGACAGAATTGTTGTTACCTATGCCATCTATGGATATGATAGCTACTAGCCACACTCAACTATTAAAGCATTTTGAATTTAAGTTTAAAAAATGTGGCTACTGGTTGAGAAGCTGAAATTTAAATTTTATTTCATTTTAATTTAAATCTAAATTTAAAGAGCTACATGTGGAAATGTACAGTACCACAGTGGACGGGGCAGCTCTAGACCCTGTCCTGCAAAATGACTTAATAAGATTATCAACCAGTAAATAAAAGGTAAAAATAATGAACTCATTTTTATAAAGGAAAGAAAGATGACTATTGTCTCTTAAGGTTCTAATCCTTGGCAATTGACATTGGGCAATCTGATGCTTTATATGTGGATTAACGGGGTGGGGGGGCACCATCCACCTCTACACATTACCCATTCTTCCCCACATCACTGTAAGACTTTAAGAGGCAACCTCAGCCAGAGCAATGAATGAATACACTTCGGGCTCTCTGAAACCTCTCATGTGCATCTAAAGGACTGTCAATCGCGTGCAATTTATTTCACTAAACATTTTATTAAATACCTGCTAGGTGTCTGGACCATGCTGGAAACTGAAAATATAAAGTACCAGCCATCCAGGAGTTTAAAAAAAAAGCTTTGGGGCAAGAAAAATGCAGAATCAGATCTTTATAAAATAGTATGACAAACACTGTGACTGCCGGGAAAGGGTATGATGGGGTATCAGGGCAAGGGCCCTTAGGCCAATCTGGAGCATCAGGAAAACTTCTAGGACATGACACATTCCATGTGAGGGCATTCCAGTCAAACACAATGAGTAAAGGGACATGGCATAAAGAGCAGCAGGTATATGCGCAGAACTATCTCTAGAACACAAAAGTCATACACAGCAGGTATCAGAAGCCTTGCTAAAGAACTTGAACTTTTAGGTTGCAGGCAGTAGCTATTGATGAGTTGTTTTTTTTAAACGAGAAAATGATGTGGTCAGCGCTACCCTTCTGAGCAATCCCTCTGACCACAATGTAGCAGATGACAGCTGAGGGATTCCCTCAGGAAGCTGGTGCAATGGTTTCAGTAGGCAAGAAGGGATCAGAGGTAGAAGCTGCAAGCAGAGAGAGAAGACAGCTTTTCTACTTTAGGAGACTAAAATTAACAAGACTTGCCGAAGAATGTGAAGGAAAGGGGCACTCAAGGCTTGCTCCCAATTTTCTGGTTTTGATAAGACCATTAACAAAGACAGGGAATGAAATTCAGCATCAAGTGAAAACAGTCAAGGGATTAGTATTGGGAAGGGCAGCCCCACCATTCCAGCAAGCCCCACAGTGTTGTTCTGCTCCAGGGAGCTTAAAACACATAAAGCACATGTGAAAATGGTATCCCCTGCCCTGGGTGGCTCAGCGGTTTCGCGCCTGCCTTTGGCCCAGGGCGCGATCCTGGAGTCCCAGGATTGAGTCCCGCGTCAGGCTCCCGGCATGGAGCCTGCTTCTCCCTCTGCCTGTGTCTCTGCCTCTCTCTCTCTCTCTCTCTCTCTGTGTGTGTGTGTGTGTGTCTATCATAAATAAATAAAAATAAATCTTTTGAAAAAATGGTATCCCCTGAAGCCATACAACCGGGCAGGCCTGGGTCTCAGCAATGGATGGGAAATACTTGTTCAGCCTCACACAATCCCACCAGTCTACCTTCCACCGGTGAATAACAAAGACGTATCCAAAGAGGTGAGAAGGTCTAACCAAATTATCTTGTCTTGTAGATACCATTTCTAAGATGGCTTATTCTTTACCTAAGAAACTAACACATGGCAGTTGGCTACTCAAATGGCTGCGCAGAAGTTTCCTGTGCCTTTGATATGCTGAAGCCTATTAATGCTTCTGCCTTCCCTTCAGGGAGATGGTAACAACTTTCTAGTTAAGGTCAATGCCTGATTATCTTTAAGGTAAATCCGGCCTTCAAGTCTGATGGTTAATACTTAGTCTTCTTACTCATTGCTTGTTTTACTAATACCCTATTTTGCAGCCTCCAGGAAACCGCTTGGAGAAATTACACAGTTCCATCTACCCGCACACCCAGACACAGATCTGAATAAAGGCAACTGTTTCAGGATACGTATGCTATTTTTGTATGAATCGGACATACCTTGGAATGCCCAGCCTGTGGTGAAGAAGGGCTCAAGGAGTACAAAAGGAAACAAGAGAGCCTCCTGGCTTATCTCTGAGTCAGAATTCACATTTTTCAGTTCACTGAGAGGAAGACCTGGGAGTCATCCCTGATTCCTCCTGTGAGCCCCCACATCAATCCACTGACAGGTTCATGTCAAAATACATGTGAGATGCATCCGCTTCTCTCCTTCTCCACAGCCACCACTAGGCCAAGTAACTGGCATGCCTGCCCTGAACAGCTTGATCTCCAGGGCTTCCCCACTACCTCGGTTCCAGTCTCCCCCTCTCCCCACACACACTGTTCTCCACACAAACCAGAAGGCTCTTGTTAAACTGTAAACCTAACCATACGACCACCACCCCCACTCCACCAGCACTTAAAATCCTCCACCACTTCCCAACTCTGCGCTGGGAGTAAGAGCTAAATTCCTCAATATGGCTTTCAAGGTCCTTCGTTATCTGCACTTTGCCTTTGTCTCCAACTTCATTTTCTACCAATCTTGTCCTGTGATTACCGTGCTACAACTGCATCGGCCTCCTTTCTCTACAGCTTCTGTGCTCACCAGTTCCTCAGGCTGAAAGGTTTCTTTCCTCAGCTAAGCATGTGCCTCAAATCTCAGCCCAATGGTGATCTCAGACAGACCTTCCTCGGCCATCCCCCACCTAAATGCCTTCACACCATTTATGAACTTCCCTCATTTATCGCCCATTTTTCCGACACCCACTCCCACCCCACAAGAGTGTAAGCTCCATCAGGATCAGGAATTTGTCTGGCTTGTTCGCACCATCTCAGTGCCTGGCACACAATAGGGGTTCAATTTGCCGAATAAAGAAACAAACTAAGGACTGATTCCGTTTAAAATAAAGCACATAACTACAACTTTAGATACATCGAAGGGGAACTACAAGTACACATTCCAAAATCGCATATAACTGGTTTATGGAAAAAACATTTTCTTAAAAGATTTTATTTATTCATGAGAGAGAGAGAGAGAGAGAGAGAGAGAGACAGGCAGAGGGAGAAGCAGGCTCCATGCAGGGAGCCCGACGTGGGACTCGATCCCAGGTCTCCAGGATCACGCCCTGAGCCAAAGGCAGGCACTAAACCGCTGAGCCACTCAGGGATCCCTCCGGAAAAAAACATTTTTAAGGATTATTCATACCACAGCTCCTCTCATCCGGGCTTGCCCACACACGTTACAGTGAATGAATGGTGCTTACTACACATGTATGTGAGGACAGAGCCTTTGCCAATTATAATCACTAAAGCACTTATGGGAAAGACACTATTCTGTATTAAAGACATATAGTTACCCTACATATGATTACCTGGTTGGCTGTACTGATCTTCATAAGCATCCAGCCAATAAAAATGAAACACTTGCTCCTCATCTGTCCCTTTCACCAGGGGGAGGTGACTGGAATCCACTTGGACTTCCTGGGCTGAGAAACTGCTATCATCTTCCTGATCAATGTCCCAACAAGACACATCTGGGAGAAAACTTCCTCTGCAGAAATTACATTTTGAAAACCTTTCAAAATCCAACTGAGTAATTTGTAGTGCTACTTGCCAGAAAAGTCATAAAATGCTCTTACAAGTAGGACGTGGTCCCTTTCCCAGGATCTGCCTCATGCTTCACCCCCTCTGTTGGCTCACTCTCTTGGTGCCAAGTCTTGACAGCCACAGGCTCCACATCCACTTCCTCAGCCTCCATGGGCTCATCAAAGTCACCATCTTCAAAATCCATCGCTCCTGAGTCCTCTTTGTCATCTATACACAACGCTGGCACCGGCTCTCCTGTAGGCATCATCACATATTCCCATCATGTACTGCTGCCATGGAACACAAAGGACTCCCCAGCACAGCAACAGCAGCCTACTCTTTTTCCCACACTGCATTTGCATTTCTCTTCAATCTCAAATTGGATGTTTTTTAACTTTTACTGCTAGGGATTCAAGTCTTTAACAATTAAACCTGCTATCAGAATACCTTCATAATCACCTCCACTTCCTTTTTCACGGGGCCTCCATTTCTGACAGCATTTTGCAACTGTTCAACATCCTTGCAGGTCTGCCTGACATCAGACTTACCAGCAAATTCAGCACATTTTACAGGAACTGGAGTTAATGGAGGCTCCTTCCTTGAGACAGGGGAAGCAGTCTTTCCTGAAGGAACTGCCTGTAAATATTTTTAAATGTTCAGTCAGTTAGCTCTGCGTATCAGAAAATATCCAAGTGTCCTACCCTGACCAGAGAAAATGACAGTTTCCCATTTATACAACAATTCTATGTATTATTAATGTAACAGCTTCCATTATTTTACTGTTACCTACGTTTACAAAAAAATACTTGTTTCCAGGAAGAAAATTATTGCATTTAGCACAGCTGTAATGCCTATAATAAACACATACTAGTAACTAAAAACTTACTATGAAAAAACCAGGCACATGCTATTTTTGAAATACATGAAACTATATAATGCAACGAGAGTCCTAATTTAAAACAAAAATCAAGAACAAATTCAAAAGCATTTCCCTCATATAGAAAAGCAACAAAGTAAGTTTTAAGCAAGAATATAAATCAAGATTGAAAGTATCTCCACACACTTTACCTTGGGGGTGTGCACAGAGAAAGGATTCAGTGAAGCTCCAATGGATCTTTTCTTCTTTGGTATCATTATAGGTGGTGGAGTTACTGGAGGTTTCTAAAAGGAGGAGTAAGACATTCCCTGCCATGCTTGGCTTACCACAAGACAGAAAAAGTACATTTTTCCCCCCACTGAAGCCCAATAAGCAAAGCATTTTTTTTCCTTCCCGGCTCCCCCCACAGATCTATGCTCATGTACTGTAGTTACTATAGCAACAATACCACACTCACTAGAAAACCAGAATAGATATTAAATCCACCTCTCACCAATTTTTTCTTTTTACAACTCAACATACTTTTCCCCTATCCTTCCAAGATATTACATTTAAAAACTGTCAAGATAGAACTACACGGTGTTCATGTTAGTTGTTTTAATCAAGAGGTACTTAGAAAGAAACACACCTCTAAATGAGTTTAGTCTTCATGTGAAATACCCAACTGCAAATTCCCAGAGCAGCTGAGCCTTTCTGAGTTCTCTCAGGGACAGTTCACTGATTCTTCCTTCACCCCCCTCTCTGAATTCAAGATGAGGATCTCATGCCTGATTGTGCAGACTGACAGGTTTCCATCTATTTCGGGAACATACACTGCAGCAACACAAGCAGTGTGCATTCCCAGAACTGACTCATGTGTGTATTCTTACTGCTTCAAACACATCCCCACGCAGCCCTGTCAACATAATTGCATAGGTTGTAACAGCTGGAAACTACTCACCTAAAGTGGTAAGAAACCAATTTGGAGAGGTGTTTCTTTTGGGGGGGGAGGGGGTTGTGGGGTTTTTGTGTGTGTGTGTGTGTGTGTGTGTGTGGTAGTATTGTCATCGAGTTTTTTTTAATATTCTAACAGCCATCTGTTTAATAAAATTACTGAATTGTTTCTTTGACAACTCCCAGAACATGACTTACCTCAGTGTTCAGATCTTGTAGAATGTCACCTAGCAGATCATCCTTGGACAAGTCTACAGCTTTCTGGAAATTATAAAGAGAGGCAGAATGAGAAAGCCCTGAACCTCATGTTTGCACCCAGACCATGTGTCTGTTAAAGAACCCAACCAGTTAGTCCTTGCCTCTTCAGTCCTAAGTGTGAATCTACTGTTCACATATCTTAACAGCCACCTGTGTACATGTAACTCCTAAACCTAAGGCTCCCATCCTGTTTTTACCTTCATTCCATGATCCTCCTGCTAATCAATGAAACACACTTGTTATCCTTTAGGTTTTCATTCACTTTTCTATCTCCAAGTTCCAAACAACGAGGTGCCTAAATTCATCTAGAAATCTACATCCATCCACCTTCATGACTGAAATCAGGAAAACACAATTGAAATATCTGAGCTCAAATACACTGAGCACCTATTGTCTGTACAAATACTAAATTTACTTCTCAAAGGAAAAGACAAAATATAAAAACTCACAAAACAGAAATGCCTGAGTGGCTCAGTGGTTGAGCATCTGCCTTTGGCTCAGGGCATGATGATCCCGCTCTGGGGATTGAGTCCCATGTCAGGCTCCTGTGAGGAGCCTGCTTTTCTCTCTGCCCATCTCTCTCTTTGTGTCTCTCATGAATAAATAAATAAAATCTTTTTTTAAAAAAAGAAAGAAAATCATGAAACTCACATCTGTAGTCTTCTTCCCAGCACTAGCAATGAACATTGACTTGATATTGTTTGGTTTTGTCACTGCAGCCTTCTTTACATTCCTCCTGTCTTTGGTACGTGCTTTATCATCTTTTCCTGTTGGAATATAACTTATTTATAAACACGTACCAGCACAAATCATTATGGAAAACTAAAAGCCAAGTCACCTGCTGTCTGTACAGGAGTCTGTATAGGAGAATGAGAAAAAAGACAAAGAATTCAAAATATAAAAATATTTCTATTTTTTTTATCCATGGTAGACAGGGAAGAATCTTGAAAAACAGCTCAATTCAGGAAAACTTAAGCTAAATGTTATTATAAAAACTGATGACTGGGCACCTGACTGGTGAAGTTGGTGGAACATGAGACTCTTGATCTCCAGGTTGTAAGTTTGAGCCCCAAGTTGGGTGTAAAGATTATTAAAAATAAAATCTTCTATTTTTAAAAGATTTTTATTTATTGATTTGGCAGAGAGAGAGAAAGAGAGAACGCACAAGCAGGCAGAGTGGTAGGCAGAGGGAGAGGGAGAGAAGCAGGCTCTGAGCAGGTAGCCTGATGCAGGGCTCGATTCCAGGACCCTGGGATCATGACCTGAGCCGAAGGCAGATGCTCAACTGACTGAGCCACCCAGGTGCCCCCAAAATAAAATCTTTTAAAAATGATGAAATGGGGCACCTGGGTGTCTCAGTGGTTGAGTGTCTGCCTTTGGCTCAAGTTGTGATCCCAGGGTCCTGGGATCAAGTCCTGCATCACGCTCCCTGTGGGGAGCCTGCCTCTCCCTCTGCCTATGTCTCTGCCTCTCCCTCTGTGTCTCTCATGAATAAATAAATAAAATCTTTTTTAAAATGATGAAATACTAGTTAAGTATCAGAATAAGTTATTAAGTAGGACTGTTTAATGGCTATTATTAGTGAGAATAAAACTTTCTAAAAGGTGGGACTTGTTTTTTAACAGAAATAAAATGATCAAGCTCATCTGGAACCAAGGGATTAGTCTAGCAGCCTTCAGGAGATCAACTTTTTAGTGCTATCCTGAATCTGGCAGGAAAACTATGAAGAAATAGGCTTATCAGTCATGGTAGTATAACATCCTAATTTCCATCTTCTGGGACCAGCAACCACATACACAGTATGTTGTAACAACACTAAATGGCACAGACATCTGCTCAGTAAAGAACATCTTGTGCCATGTTTTTTCTCATGGCCATGTGTAAATCACCTACAAACTCTTCTAATACTGTCAGTTTTACTCTCTCTGATTCATTCCAAAGAAATCTCTACCTCAAAAAGATCTTGAATAAATAGTTTATATAGTGTGGTAGTGGCTAATACTACTCAAACCAGACAAAAGAGAACTGAATCCAGAAAAGACCGAATTACTTACAGAATTTATTTATTTATTTATTTATTTATTTCTTACAGAATTTAGCACATAATAAGGGTGGCATGGCATCTCATATCACTGGGTAGAAGATGGACTTTTTTAAAACAATGACAAATGTCTACTACTTTTTTTAAAGATTTCATTTGAGAGAAAGAGAGACAATGAGAGAGAACATGAGTGGGGGTGGGAGAGGGAGGAGACTCCCTGCTGAGCAAGAAGGCCGACCCAGGGCTCAATCCCAGGACCCCAGGACCAGGACCTGAGCCAAAGGCAGACACCTGACTGAGCCACACAGGCACCCCGAAGATGAACTTTTTAATAAGGGGTGTTGGCTACCTATCTGTCAAGAAGTCAGTCAGTATAAACACCAAATAAATCACCGATCAAAAATTTTTAAATGAAAATATGGAAGACTTTAATAAAAGGGCAAGTTCTGGGGCATCTGGGTGGCTCAGTCAGTTAAGCCTCTCACTCTTGGTTTTGGCTCAGATCATTATCTCAGGGTTTTGAGATCAAGCCCCATGTCAAGTTCTGTACTAGGCATGGAACTTAAGCTTAAGATTCTCTCTCTCTCTCTCTCTCCCCGCCCCCCCGCCTCTCTCCCTCTTGCTCTCTTTCCCTGCTTCCATCTCTTAAAAAAAAAAAAGGCAAGTTCCTTTGCAACCGGGTACGGGGAAAAGTCTTTCTAACTGATTCAAAATGCATCTGCAAGAAAACAAAACTGATATATTCAATTAAAACAGAAACAACTTAAATACAAAACATGAGAAAATTTTTACAGTATTTTGCAGATAAAGGACCGATCTCTCTGATTAAAAAAAAAAAAAAGGCGCTGGTATTTAAAAAGCCCCAAAACCCAAAAGGAATGTGCACAATAAAAACATACATACAGTTCACATAAAAAATATACAAGCACCTATTAAGTTTTATGAAAAGATGCTCAACTTCATGTGTAAAAGAAATGCCAATGAAAACCACACTGAGATGTCATTTTTCACATATCAGAGTGGCAAAAATCCAAGAACTTCACAAGGCACTCTGCTGGTAAGGCCATAGGAGTATAAATTATTAGGACATGCGAACTCAAATTGATCATGGGAGTGTAAGATGGGACAAAAACTATAGTAATATCTCATAAAACTTCATGTACATTTTACTCTCTGAGCCAACAATCCTCCTCCTAGGAATTTTCTGAGGAAAGCACCATATGCACTAAGTTATTAAATGCAGAATTATTTGTAAAAGCAAATTACTGAAAATCTACTTGACAACTCAGTGAAAACCATTTGAATACACCATTATCATACATTTATACAGTAAAATACTATGCAACTATATTAGAAACAAGTAAAAAAGAAAAAAGATCTTTAGGTGATAAAATGGAATCATTTTCAGGATATCTTGTTAATTAGAAAAAACACAAAGTACAAAAGCTTCTATAGAAAAATATCTTTTGTGTGAGGAAAAAAGTAAAAAAAAATATACACATAATTACATTCGTGGGTAGGTACTCAAAAGAACTGAAAACAGAGGTGTTCAAACAAAACTTGCAAGCAAATGTTTATAGCAGCACTATTCACAAAAACCAGAAGGTGGAAACATCCCAAATTCCATCATCAAATAAATGGATAAACAGTATGTGGTCTATCCATGCAACAGAATATTATTCAGCCACAAAAAGGAATGAAGTACTAATACATGCTACAACACATGGGAAACCTTGAAAACATCATGCTAAACAAAAGGAGCTAGACACAAATGGTCACATATTTTATCATTCCATTTACCTGAAATATTCAAAATAGGCAAATCCATAGAGACGGAAAGACTAGTAGTTGTCAGGGGATAGGGGAAGGAAGACTGGGGAGTGACTGCCTAATGGATATCCACTCAGGGTGATAAAAATGTTCTGAAATTAGATAATGGTTATGGCTACCAACACTGCTAATATATTAAATGTCACTGATGATAAACGGTATGTGTATTTAGCCACAATAAAAAGGGCACCTTTTTCCATGTGCCTAAAAATGAAAAAAAATTGTAGGACATTTGTGAAAAATATAGGACAGGAAATAATTTTTTATTGAGATCATCTGGCAGTTTGAAAACAATATAATTAATGGCCAAAATGTTTAGAATACAAAATACACATCCTAATACAGGGTATCAAAAGAGAAGGTCAATAAAGTTTGAAATAGCCAGGAAGGTTTCATAAGCAGGCTTTAATCTCACCATTGTAGGTTAGTAGTATCTAGAGAGAAGGACAAAAAGAAACATAGAAAATAGGAGTCAACATCTGATGTAGAGTCTTCTACAATTTTAGTGCTTCTGTTTGTTTTATTCAATTTCCTACTAATTTTTCATTAGGACTTAGTTAATATTATCTCTATTTAAAAACGTGTCAGGGATTGGAGCCACACCATAAAGAGTTGTCCTTTCACATCTATGCAAAACTGCACAATTTCTTCTAAGTCTTTAAAGTTGCTTGCAAAATTCCAGTTCCCTTCCTAGAATCTTGAGACCTTTTTGGGCTCCCCTGAGGGTCACTGAAACAGTGGGAATTTGTGGGTGAATGGTGGCAAAGCATGGAAAAAGACTTCTAAGACTGGCTCTCCTCCAGAATGCCAAGTCATTCTCTTCACTGATGTATAACTGAGAAGAGATAACAAGATGACAGTGGAAATACAAAGATGGCTCATATAGTCAACAAATGCTACATATTTTCTCTGTACTTGCTACTGTGATTGGCACTGAGATGACTAGCACATGGGTCCTTTTCTCAAGACCCTTCTGGTCCAGTGCAACCTAACTTATAGCCAACAAAAGTAATGTCCAGGTAAGTGATAGTATATCATTCAAAATGATACAGGTAATGAACAAAATAACCAGAACTCAAATAAAGGCCTCCTCAGTTCGGGGAGATAAAAAAAACACAAGCTCCTTTCATTTTCTTCTTCATGGACACACACAAACTAGGAATATGCAATCAGCCACATTGCAACCAAACAGTACCACTGTATAGAGTTCTTACATTAACACAGGTTGGCGGAAACAAAAAAGATAATCCCCATATTCTAACTGAACTAATGAATGAATAACATCTCACATATAAAAAATACACACATCCTTTTTTTTTGTAAAAGGAAAAACACGAGTATAATCAGAAACTATTAAAAATGGTTACCTATGGAAATGGGTAGAAACAAAGTAGAAAGCACAGGGATGAGAATAAGATTTACCTGAATCTCTATCATTTTGATTCTGAAATCATAAAAATGTTCTACAATATTCAGAAAATAAAATTAAAACGGAAGGATTTTTTAAAACCATAATTTGAAAACAAATACAAACGAACCTATGGAGTAAACCGATAAAATAGCACAGCATACCAAAAAAATTACTTCACACACCTCCCAAACACAATTCTCTAACTATACACCTTTACCAAGATACATGGGAAAAAAACTGCAAAGAAATTATAAAGTTCATTTAGAAAGGTTGTCAGTAGACATGTTGGTTTAGTAGTTCTAAAACTTCTAAAATTATTTTGTGTCTATTTTAGAGGACAAGGGTTTTTTCACTAGGGTTGAAGGCAGATACAAATATAGAATTGGGTAAAATGAAGAAACCTGTGGTGCTATATTTGAATCAAAATATAAGTATGAAACCATGACATTTACATAAAATCTCTGAATTCTGATCACCAAAAGTGTGTAGAAACTTACACCCCAATAGCAATGAGTACCATCCATCTCCCACATCTGAATACCATTTCTCAGTAAAGGAGCCGGGACTCTTGGGGGAAATGGTTGATTCCAGGTCTGGAACAGGACTACAAGGGGAACCTGAAATACTTTTTTGGCCCAGGAAGCAAGGAAATGCTCAAAGACTGATGGGGTCCTGTCAAAAGGACACAGGAGGCAGCTCCAGAGGCTCCCACTGTCAATGTGGGATACTCTGAACCTCAAAAAGACAAATAGTAACAATGGATAATGAACTGTAACAGTAATTTTCAGTCCAGGAGTTTAAAGTGATCATTTTTAAAAGGAGAGAAAAAAATCATCAATAGGTGCTGAAAGCATTGGGTGATAGCTGGTAAGAAAAAGATACACAGTCTCAAATTATCACCCATATTTACATTAATACAAAGGTGGAAACGTAGCTTTGTAAGTGATCTGACAAACATCATTTTAACCAAGAGATCAAACTTAGCATCACCAAAAATGAGACAAAGTGACCTTATATGCCCCTGAAATGATCAGTGGGAAGGACACAACTTCATCTATATCATATTTTTGTCAGGATCTTTAACCGGATTCTACACACCAAAAAGTAATCTGGCAAATCCCAGACTGTAGGACATTCAACACCATCAACCTGGTCCCTTTAAAGAGGTCAAGGTCAGGCATCCCAGGTGGCTCAGCGGTTTAGCGGCGCCTTCAGTCCAGGGCCTGATCCTGGAGACCGGGGACTGAGTCCCACGTCAGGCTCCCTGCATGGAGCCTGCTTCTCCCTCTGCCTGTGTCTCTGTCTCTCTCTGTCTCTCATGAATAAATAAAAAAAAAAATTTAAAAAATAAATAAATAAAAATAAAGAGGTCAAGGTCATGAAAGACCACACACAGCCCGAGGGGGACGAGGAGAGGGATGGTGCTATTCTACACTAAATAAGACTCAAGAGACATAAAAACTAAAGTGGACTCTGCGTCTGAAAAAACAGCGATCATTTTGGGCTAATGGGAAATCTTAGCATGAACCAAGATATTAGATGACATTATGAGAATGGGACTGTGGCTAAGAAGACAAGCATCCTTGTTCTTAGGAGGTCACTGATAAAGCATACAGAGGGGAAGTGTCATGGTGTTTTCAACTTACTTTCAATAAGTTGACCTAAAATAAAGTCTGTGTGTATACAGTTGGGAAGGGGGGAAGAGAAAGAAAGTAAACAAATGTAGAAAACATTGAAAATCCACAATTTAGGGTCCAGACTTTCTGAAGAGGGCAAGATACCACAGATTTTAGGCTTCGTGGCCACACACATCTGTCTGGTGCTGTTGCATGTTCTTCTTTGCATTTTTCTCTTTTTAAAAATGAAAAAACCATTCTGAGCAGGGAGCTACACAGTAACTGACATGCTTTCCTTCTAGGGTAATGAAAATGTGAGACTGATTGTGGTGATGGCCACCCAACTCTGTGACTACAGCAAACACCATCGAAATGTACACTTTAAATAGGTGCATTGTATGGAATGTGAATTACAGCTCAATAAAGCTGTTTAAAATAAACTGGCGGTGAGTGGGCCAGAGTTTGCTGACCCACGATCTACACTTGGTGATAATAATGAAGTAAATCAAAAAAACAAATACTAAAGATAATTTCCCCTTCACATTTTACAGAAACTAAATCAGGCTTGTTTACTAAAAAAAAAATGTTTTGCCAATGATTATGTAGCTAAGAAAATCTAACCCATTCATTTATATCATTTTAAATTTTGATTAGACAAAGCAAGTTGATTACTAAACCTTATTATTGTACTTACTACTATCAAAGAGCTAAAATTTTAAGTACATCAATTCAGTAGGAATTAAAAGACATCACTTATTGCTGCAGCTCTCAAAATCAGCAAGTCTAAAATGACCACAGAACTAAAATCCAAAAATAAATAAAAGAGCAAACTCTTTGGATGATAGAGACATTAAACCTCATTTTGTGGTATTGTTTTTGCTTTTTACATTTAATTTTCTATGTAACTATGCTTTTCTCAGTATTAGGACATATTCTACACCTAAAAACAATTATGGTTAAGTCCTTTTCCTTTAAAGGAAACTGGGCCAAAGTACTAAGTCATCTCAAATTTACTAAGTCATCTCAAATTGTGATTCTGTAAATCTCAAAATTGCATTTTTGCAAACAAAATATGGGTACCTTTCTCACGAGAATCAAGGGCATCGTCTTCAAGGTCATCATCAAAAATCTCTCGGCCATCTTCCACATAGCCAATGCCATCTGCAGGAACAAATTTTTTTTTTAATTTTTTTTATTGGAGTTCAATTTGCCAACATATAGCATAACATCCGGTGCTCATCCCACCAAGTGCCCGCGGAACAAAATTTAAAATGGGACCAAGTTTCTAAAAGTGGCCAGTATATTTTAGCCACAACAACAAAAACACCTCTTATACCTACTCAGATGTTCTCCTGGCTGTGCCATTTTTAAATGTAGCAGAATCCTGTTAAGACGGGTATCAGATGAAACATAAGCATCTACACAGCAGGTCTGCTGTGTCAAAACCAAAGGATATATGCTATGCCCATCTAGGTGAGCTAGGGAAATGATTTGGCCCACAGAATCAAAGTCTGCTGCAACGGGATGCATAACAGTAGTTTTATTCTACCCAAAGAATAAAAAGCAAAAGAATAGAGATCACATAGGCCTAGAAAAGCACTTCAGTCTATGAAGGAAAACTGGCAATAGAGCTGAGTCCAACTACAGAAATAGAAACACAATTATGGTTACAGGTGCAATCTATACCACTACCTGTGGTCTGCAGGAGCATGCCCAAGAAGTTACACCTGACAAGCAGGAACCAGTGAGCTTTCTACATGGATTGTAAAAACATCAGGACCAGCCTCTGCTCTGTGCTTTCGACTGTCCAAGTTACTCTTCACACATATAGCTTCGTGTAATTGTCACAGCCACTCTGTTCAATAGACAGTTTTCTCAACCCCACATCACCTGAGGATACCCCTCAGGTATGTGGTTCCTCCAAATTACTACAGAGTCGTTTCCTGGAGGATTTACACTATATCCTGAGGTATGTGTCTGGATTCTCCAAAATACCCCAGAATAAAATTTCTATTGTATTCCCTCCACATTCTCAAATAATGTATTTGAGAAAAATCTGAACCAATATAATTTTAACAGTGTCGTACATCTGCTCATGCAAAGCAGCAACTCCACCACATGAGACTCGACAAAAACTAACATAATACTTAGAAGGGAATTTCTTCCCACATACCATCATCCACGATCCAGTCATCATCCTGGCGGGCCTGAACCAGCTTCGAATACTGTTCTTCATCAACTTCTTCATAAACACTTGTGAAGTCCTCAACCTGCAATCATATAAGTTTGAGAAAGCTTCAAATGGAGTGAAAGTGTTAAACAATTCTGATGAAAAATTGTCAAATTGAAATGGGAATGGCAGCCTGAAGGAGTAGCTGCAACCGTATCATGAGTTCTGACATTCAACACCACTACCGGGTTTTTCCTTAAATAGACATCAATTAACTTAGTATTCCTTTTAAGTGGGTGTTAACACAAGATATTAAATGATTCCATTAGCATAATATACTTGTCACACCATCAATTACTCATCTACTTCATAAAAAACAAACTGAATTATAGCCAATTCTTTGTTAGCTGCTTTGGGGATTATTCACTTTTAACTTCTAGACTGGTTTCTCCAATACTTAGCAAACCCACAAGGCATGCTAACCCCCTCTCCACTAGCTGATGTTGCCCTGCACACTGGCAATTTTAATAACAATTCAATCAACCAAATAGAGTTTAAAAGGAAACTCTGCCCCACCTATCCCCCTCCCCCAAATCAGCAAAACAAGCGCACTCTATATTCTATAGGTACACAGGAAATAATTTTTGAGTGATCCCTATTTGTATTACCACTGATCTCTTATCATTCTCAGGTCTTGAGACTGCAGAGACTGAAATGCTGAGCTATGTGAAGGGCAAGTCCTCTAATAACCTGAGCTACCTAAACTTCCAGAGGGCCATTAACTACTGGCATGAATAGAGCAGACCACTTCACAGTTTAAGCAACAAGCAGGACAGAGGCACACCACCTCAGCTGCCATAGTAATAGGCCATCAACTTGCCAACAGAGAATTTGGTGGGCTGCTTAGAACTCCTAGATACCCGATTAAAAATTCCCCCCTTCTGTCCAGAGTTCAAGTGGGTAAGGGATGAAGGAAATAACTCCAGCTGAAGAGCTAAGACTCTAGGAAAAATTGCTTGGACACAGAGCTTTGAGAACCCAATGGGCAGAGCTGACTGGACTCCTGCCACAGCTACAAGACTTATAACAATTACAGGATCAGGCTTAGTTTTCACCTGCTGATTAATCTGTTCTATAGCGATCACTGGCAAATGTTGATTCGGCCTTTCACCATTTGATAATAGAAACTACCTGCCCTACCAAATTAATTTTTTGACAACCCAAACACAAATGAGCCCAATTAATATTACTATACTGACCAATTTTCTTTTGGCAGAGGAAGTGAACTTGCAGGATTATATTTCTGTTGGTTGAAGTCCATTAGGCATACTTTGTCTCTTATTTAAGTAACTCACTTCTATACTATCAAAAAGATACCAGAAAACTACCTTAGAAAATCATTTTGAGTAAAAAGTCATTTTGACTCTATGTCAAAAAACTGTGCTACTGCTCAGCATGAACTCTTAGAGCCATGCAATTAACATGAGTGATTAAAGGGAAATCAGTCACATTGTGTCAACATCTGAAATGCCCCCACAGAACTCCTTTATAGGAGTACTTACATTAAAAATGCTTTATTCCTGCTATACTATAATCCTTTTAGCAACCCTTTGTGATCTGGTTGACTCACTTAACTCGAGCGAATGATGCCAAATGACAAAAACCCTCTTCCACTTTCTTAATTGCACAACACAGTACAGGCCATGGTTAAATATGCATATTCTGAAGCCAGACTGCCTGTGCTCAAATCAAGGCTCTGTCACTGTGACCTCAGGATTCTCACCTATGAAATGCTGTTAATCACAGTATCTAACTTTTCATAATTATTGGAAAGATTAAATAAACATATTTGTAAAAGCACTTAGAACAGTGTTCGATAAAAAAGTACAGCAGTTGCTGTTATCATTTTTTTCTCGTATCAATTAATCACTTTCTAGCCCTGAGGCAGCTGAGACACTCAAGGAACACACTGAAGGTGAAGCCAGACAATGCTGTATAGATGGTAACCACTCTTGATTTTTTTGTTTTAGCTACAGGCCATAAATAGTGGTTAGAGGAAAATGGTCAAAAGGGCATCACATTCAATCTTACACACAGGACACAGCAGAAGTAAGACCCAAGTCCTCACCTGCCACAGATGAAATTAGGAAAAACAATTCCCTCCAAGAAGTCATGCTTAGCTAGAATGCTCAATATCTTAAAAGTAAAAGCATTTCTAAGTTCCCCCAACAAAGCTATGAAACTTACCACAGCTGCAGTGTGCTGTGTTTTTTAATATTTTATTTATTTGAGTGAGCAAGGGAAAGAGCGTGAGAGCAGAGGGATGAAGCAGAGGGAGCGTGAGAGCAGAGGGATGAAGCAGAGGGAGAGGGAGCCTGATGTGGAGCTCGATCCCAGGGTCCTAGGATCATGACCTGAGCTGAAAGCAGATGCTTAACAGACTAAGCCACGCAGGCGCCCACGCAGTGTGCTTAATAAGGAAAAAAACAGCATCTGTAAAGTGCCTTACAGGAACTTAAAGAGCCAAGTAATTGCCAAAATGGTAAATGTACTTCATGCCCACGCTTCTTCAATAGTAAGAAATTAACTATTGCAAGTACAACATATATTGGTATTTCTAATCAGTGACAAAAGGGACATAAAATACCTACAGGCTATGAATTAAATGAAGCAAAGGAGAAGAAAAAAATGGTTACTTACTTCATATTTATACTTCTCACCAGCTTTAGCCCTTTTCAGTCTTTCTAGAGCTTCCTGGCGCCCTCTCTTTGATTTTTTTTCTCGCCGGGATCGAGAAGATACAAAACTCCCTGAATCTGACACAGCTGAAAAAAAAGCCAAGTTTACATGAGATGTTACAAAATTGTCAGCCATCTTCTCTCAGGAACAGGAATGTTCCCAGTCAATAGTATCACAATTTCAATATTATAGAAATGATTAGTTTTCATACTGTAGATGGTTCATGAAGGACAAGTTCACACAGCTCCTGTGACTCCAGAAATTTTCTCTAAGACCCAGTTAAAACAACTGAAGCAACTGTTACTTTTTTCCTCCAAAAAGAGGAAAATTTCAAAATCAACTGGTATCTTACAGAGACAATAGAGAAAGGAGATCAGCCATTAATCCATAACCTTTCCATTAGAAATGACAGGCCATAAGTAGAGTTATAAAAGAAGGACAATTCATTTTGTGTTCTATTAATCAACATTTGAAAGGCTTTAAAGGAGCACCTGCTCTTTGTAAAGTACTAGTCTCTCTGAAAGACAAAAAGATTCTGTACTCACAGAACTTACCATCTAAAATGGGAGATAAGTAGTAACTAACTCAAAAACAATCTTTAGAATACATGCCCTAACAGAGGTTCAGATGAAGTATTTGGAATTTCAAAGCAGGGATAAAGTGGGCTGTAGGGAGAATTTAACACACAGGGCTCTGAAGAGATTCTTGATTCCTTCACTGATTTCCAGGCCTCATTCACTTGGTTAGGACATAGGGTGATAGTGCAAAATTACAAAGATTAAAATGTATTTTGTCAAAAATTACTGGAATACCAGAATGCCTCAGTGTTCATTCAACTTTTGAAGTAATCATGCTTTTGGTCATTAGGAACTGACCACCACACATATATACTGAAAACAGTTCATCCACAAAATTGAGAGTCGTTTACCAGATGATGAATAATCAAGTCAAGTGAGACCATGCTGCTTGCCAGCCATGAGTTTTGGCTTATTAGCATGATCGCCATCTGAGTCTGTGAAGTTGAGAATTTTATTGTATTTGGTGCTAATTACTTCATAAAAAGAAGGAGGCACAGAAAAGAAGGATTGATAAGATGCATCCTAAAAGCTCCAACCCCTTTGGAATACTCATAACAACATTCAACTGATGGACAACGTGTTTGACTGAAATAGAAGATGCAATTTAAAGAACATGTACCAAATGCTGAAAATAAACTGTGGATAACTAAATCTTACAGGTGAAACATAGAGATCATTTTTCCCCCTAGCTTTCTGGAAACAATCTCTCTTGAACATCTCAGTCTATTGTTTGACTTTCGTATTTGACTTGTAAATCCATTTTCAGAAAGGCATTAAGTAAAAATTAAGGAATGCATGTACTTAAAGATGACAGCCACAAAATCTTGGGTGTCACTCAAATGATTTCAAAAAATCACAAGCAGGTCTACATGAAAAGGTTAAGGGGATTACTGGACATGACTACTGACAGTGAAAAGCTGGCCTCAGTATATTCCCTTAAAGATGCCATTGACTCCTTAATAGACTCTCTTGACAAAATTTATAGTTCTTCAAATGGACTTACTTCACAGGCAACAATGTACCATTCTACAGGTTTCTTTCCTACAATTACAGAAAGGAAGAGTTGCCTGCCCTCAAGGGGGCTCCCAAATAAAGCAAAAGGAGCTGAGGCTCCCACCATCATACAGACATGGTGCCATAGAAGAGGCAAGGACAAGGTACTGAGGAAACACAACAAAGAACGCTAACTTTGAGAAATTCACAGAAGGCTTCACAGGGAAGGTGTCCAACACAGATCCAGAAAGACCATTAGAATTTCGCCACCAGAATATAGGGTGGAAAGGGGCAGAAGCACACAAAAAAGCATAAGCCTAATTACAAAGGGATGAAACTACAAGGTGTATTCAGAAACCAAGAGGAAGTGGGTATGGGAGGTAAATCTTACATGAGTGTAGAGTGGGAGAATAGGAGATTAGGAAGAAGCAGCACAATCCGTCTCCACCACTTATTGGGTGACATGAGACCACCAGTTAACATCTCTGAGCTGTAGTGACCAGGTGCCTTCATGTTGTTTTTTAAGCTGCCTGGCACCTGAACTTGCCTGTGAAATCCCCTCCTTATAAACCTTGATGGGATGCAGAGCCCAAGTCCCACTAGAGAAGTTGAAAAAGCAGATGCTCTTTCCCACATACGCTTGTAACGAGGGCATGAACATATAAAACAGGCTCTATCAAGTAGGAATACCTGCTCAGACTTTAAATCAGAAGCTAGTGTCAGAAGGAAAGTGGATGGGCTAATGGAAGATTCTAGAAATAGCAACAGCTGCAAGAGGATTACTTGGGGTCACTCAGCCAGTAATGTCCCAAGACATCAAGTACTTGGCCATGGCTGACAATGACCTCCTCACTAGACAAGTTCTGTGGCACAACTTTATTTTGTTTTAATTTTTATTTATTTATGATAGTCATACAGAGAGAGAGAGAGAGGCAGAGACACAGGCAGAGGGAGAAGCAGGCTCCATGCACTGGGAGCCCGACGTGGGATTCGATCCCGCGTCTCCAGGATCCCGCCCTGGGCCAAAGGCAGGCACCAAACCGCTGCGCCACCCAGGGATCCCCTGTGGCACAACTTTAATTACCATTCCTGGCTAAGCAGCCCCCCGAAGTGATTCGCAAGTCCACCTGGAGTTTCTGTGACCACCACAATATCATTCTAATCCCTAAAATACTTAAATTCCTCTTTTTCTATTTACATCAGCTAGAGTTGGCTCCTGAGGGTTAGACCAAAGGACTCGCAGTAATGCAGAGCCTCAGGATTCTCATCTGTGAAACGGGGATAATCGTGTCTGCTTCATAAAGTTGTTAAGGATTAAATGAAGGACCTTGGCTTATTTTGTACTCAGCAATACAGGATCTCATTTCATGTTTGTGTATGTGTGTACAGACGTAGGGCAGACACACACACACATAGCGCGCACACAACACACCCAGAAGTACCATGGTCTAGCTTTAGAAAGCAAAAATAAAGGTAAGTGGTTTTCTCAGAGAAGCCTCAATATAGCACCACATGCAATTAGCTCTTTACCATCTCAACTCCAGGAAGAAGACTATGTCCAGCTTACCTACCATTTAATGCCTATACCTAGCAGGTACATAGTAAATATTTGCTGAATGAACAAATGAATAAACCACTATACCTGCTTTTTAAAAATCATTAAACTCTCCCTGATCCCTTTTTATATGTAATAATAGGTAGTTACAGACCTTTCAACTTTTCACTGCCATTGTCAAGGTACCCCACCTTCTAATACTTAAGAGGAAAAAAGACCTAGAATTTCCTTCTTGGAATGTGTCCAATGCTTCGTGTAGATAAGTTAACAACAACAAAAAGGCATGAAAAAATCCATTACAAAACTTTAAATATTCAGTTCAAAACTACCATCTGAAGTACCCCCATTCTCCCCCAAAGCAGACAGACACTAGCGTGCAAAAGTCTTTCAGGTAACAATCTTTCTGCTCTAAAGGAAAAATTCCAGTCACAAGTCTCTAGCAACTACTTAATCAACACCATGACTTAAGAGGGGACTCAAGATTACACAGCATCTTCCAAAGAGTGATTTCTTGATGTTCACAGATGACGTACAGTTTTTATGGTGAAGAAAGAAACCCTAGTGGCAAATCACTGATGGAGGGCTGCAGAGACTGTTCATATACTCACAACCTACATCCCATTTGTAATCCAGGGTAGACGACTCTCCAAAACAAATTGTCTTAAAAATGAAAGGCTGGAGCAAATTGGTATCTGTGATTCACAACTAGGTGAATGCAAAGGAAACTGATTAGAAGGCAAGTTCTCATTAATGGAGATGTATCTGGGTGACAGGAGATGTACCCTGAACTAAGAAAGTGAAGCATCTGAATTTAAACCAGACATTCACTGAAGTTAAGTCACACTTTACTTGAACATAGTCCAAAAATCAGAAATCAAAGCCATTTACATTTTTGTATTCTATTTTTGGAAATAAAAGATTACTACTGAAAACGGAGTCATATACAGGGCATTCCAAATGCTGCTGAGCTGATTCGATTTTTTTCGGGGGTGGGGGGGACTTCACCAAAGATGACTAGATTGTGAACACTACTTCTATGCAGCACTTGGAAGAACTTTCCATAGAATTTTAGAGAAAAGAATTGTTAATGCATGAAGTAAAAACCCATTACCTAAGACAAGGCACATTTGTATTTTCTGGTGACAGCCCTTAGACTTTCTTTCCTGCTGAGTTAAAGTGTATAAACATTTCCCTGGGAGTTTTCATAGAAAGAGCTCACATTCGTTCGTGCTAGCCCTCAGGTAGATACTTTGAACTAAGAGCTGTTAGATACTTTGAACCAAGACTGTGCCCCATCGGGGTCAGTCTGATGCAGGTGCCCAGCACGTGGAACGCACTCGCCAAAGGAAATAAAAAGAAAATGCGGACTGGTGCGGAGAGCAGCTCTGACACAGGCCCTGCAAGGGATGCGCTCTGGTTTGCCAGAAGCAAACGGCCCTGCGAGGAAGCCCCACCCGACACAAGTGAGTCCCAGCCCGGGACTACCAAGGTCCGCGCCCAAAAGGACCCGTCAGGCGAACCAGACGAGCGCCCCCCGCCAAATTAAAAAGACCTCTCCAGAGCCCTCACCACCCGCAATCACGCCACGGCCCCTGTATTCCCAACCCCGAACCCCGCACGCGGGGTCATCCCTCACCGCTCGACCCCAGGTCGCAGTCTTCGCCGTGTACCGGCGCCATGGTCCTGCAGGCTCCCGATTCCGCGCCAAGCAGCCCGAAACTGGCGCGGGGGCCGAGACAGGCGCCAGGCTGAAAGCCAATCAGAGGCTCCAGAGGCTGCGGACTTCCGCCCGGAAGGCCACTGACGTGCCGCGCCGCGCCGCGCCCCGCCCCCGGCCTTCCCGCGGACGCCAGTTTGGCGCCCTGTTATGACCCCTTAGGGAAAAGCTCGAGTGGAGGGGAGGCCGAGGAGAGCAGCAAAAAGAAGCGGCCGGGCGCTGGAAAGGAGCCGCGGGGAAGCTCGCTGCGCAGGCGCACCCACGCTGATGGGAAAAGAGTTGGGCACGTTGGGATAGGGGCTTTCTGGTTCTGAGAGTTCATTCTCTGAGAAAAAAGACGCGGGCGGGTACTAGGATGGGCGTGGTTGGACCGTTTCCCCAGAGCCTTGGGAAAGCGACTGCCTCCTGCTGCGCGCTCTGAGTCTTGCCTGATAACTTTGCTTCTTAGCGTGTGAACACAGTCGCTGTGTGATTTATGGATATGTGTACTATAAATATATATATGTATATATATAAAGCACTATCATACCCAAATGACCAAAAAAAGCATATGGGGCAACCATATGCCTCCTGACGTGATGCACTTGGAAAAGGGAACGGGAACATCACCCATATAATCTTCTTACAAAAAATGCTTAACCTGAATCTAACCATGAAGAAACAATCAGATGTATTCAAAGCATAGGACGGTCTACAAAATATCTGGGGTTCTTGCAAAATGTCAGTGTTATGAAAGACAAAAAAGGCATTAGGTTCTTGTATACGGTACAATGCACATAATGTATGTGTCCCATTTTCTTTTTTAGGTATAACATTTTTATACATGTGCCTTCCACGCACCCGTAATGTCTTTTCCTACATTTTTGCCAACATACTTAATCTCTTCCTCATGTGACAATTTTATAATATCATTTTCTCTAAAAAGGGTATAAAAAATTCAGTCTGCCTTCCAGCGTGGTTGATCGATGTTTGTTTCTTAATTTCTGATTGTTTAGAAATTTTTCTTTCAGCTCTATAACACAAGATCATGTTAAGATATGATCCATATGTTGTGATACATGACAAATACATAGTGACTCGCACTTAGATCCACTCACTGTTTAAAGCACGCGTCTATGCCTATACTTTCTCTTTAAAGAAATTGTTGCAACTTTGATATTATCAAGTTTACTCCTAACAGGAGAGTACTGTTTTGGCTAGGCATAAATAAGAACCAAATCTTTCCTTTACAACTTCACATGTCTGATAATTTTCCACATGCCACCTTAGAATTCTAAGTATTTCAGATCTTGTTTCTCTTTCATGACCCTTATACTTCCAGGAGCCAGGACCCGTAGGACACTTTCATATTTTATCACTTCTGGCCCTGCACATTCAGGTCAAAACTCCAAATGAGCACAGTGGGGTAGGAATATTCCTGGAAGGTATTCCTACACCAGGAGGTCTATCAATATCTTTAAATGCAATGAGTGCTTTCAACCGACATAGATGCTACTAAGTCTAAATGCAATGCAACACCAACTCAACTTCCACCACCACCACCAGGCAGGAAGGGAAGTATATCAAAGGGACAGGTGGTGATTCTCAAGAGCTAATTGTTACATATTCAGGAATTTCGGGATCCCTGGGTGGCGCAGCGGTTTGGCGCCTGTCTTTGGCCCAGGGCGCGATCCTGGAGACCCGGGATTGAATCCCACGTCGGACTCCCGGTGCATGGAGCCTGCTTCTCCCTCTGCCTGTGTCTCTACCTCTCTCTGTGTGTGTGTGTGACTATCATAAATAAATAAATAAATAAAAGGAATTTCACAATCTACTTGTTAAGCTATTGGTAACTTGAAATCAGCCATGGAGTGGGTATTGTGTACACCATGGAAATGGGAAAATGTTACAGATAAAAAATCAGCCCCCCCCCCTTCTTTTGAGACAGAGTTTACTGCAAACCATCAAGTAGCCATAACAGATTGTGGTTTAAAAAAATCTAACTTTTGCGAATTTTCACAAAAACAAGAGGCCATGGCTAGGGCATCTTCCAGGGCCTCAGAAGTGACCCATAAGCAAGTAAGAGGCCTCAAAGCTTGTTTCATTAACTTCATTGTAAATCTACCTCTGTTATCTAATCATACAAAAAAAAAATCACGATTTATCTTAAACTTGCTCTCTCCTGTACAACACAGGACTGGTTTTTGCACTGGGTTTCCAAATTGAAAAGTTTTTTTTTAATTTATCATTATTACTAAAAACAAGGAAAAACAAAACTAACTTGAGATCCTATTTCCCATCATTTCTATCTTTTTATCTATATCTCTCCATATAAACTCTATCCTTTGCTGGTAAACTGTTATTGAGGAACTGCTTATTTTTCTGCCAGTGGCAGTGTAAAATAGGTACAACCTTTTGGAAAATAATATTGCAAGATGTGGCAAGTACCGTAGCATGCTTTTATCTTTCAAACCATGATTTCTGCAGGTAAAAATTAATAGGAAGTAACTCACAAGAAACAGAGTAAATGCAAAGATGTCAATGCCTATCATTTTCCTTTTTTTTTTCCATTTTCCATCAGTAAAAAATTCAGACCTAAATATCCACATCAGAGAAGAAGTTTAATGATGTGACATCAAAAGGATAAAATAATTGGGAAAACTCAAAACATGGAAAGTGTTATGACATTTTACAAAGTGAAAAGAGCAGAGGGAAAAGTGATACATACACATTTAATTGTGACTATATATCAAATAGCAATGCTATGTTAAATGAAGTATATCTTCTCCAGATGATAGCATCATAGATTCTTTTTGCTTACAACTTGTTCTCTTTTATATTATGCCAGGGGGCATTATAACATCAGGTAGAGTCAGATTTAGGGTTTGATTCTTAGACTATACTTACTTCAGGAGCAATTATGAAATTTAATTGAAATAATACACATACATTAATATGCCAACACCTCAAAAGCATTCAACAAATAGCTATTATTCTTATTGTATTTTTACAGTAAGCTTTACCATTACATTGATCTTCCTAATAACTATACAAGGTAGGTATGTCAAGGAATTGCTTTATTCCTACTGCTACATTCGTTCTCCCCTTTCTTCTTGTAATGGAATGTGGACTTTTAGCTGGGCACATGAAGGAAAAGACTGGGTTTCCCAGCCTCCTTTGCACCATGGTTTAGCTAAATGTCTAATTGCTGGCACACAAGACTTAAGCAGTAGAGGAGACTTACAGAAAGGCTGCTTAGTGAAATTGGATACATCTGGAAGGGGACCCTCTTTTTTTTACCCCTTTGCCTTTTCTCTCTTTCTTCCTGCAACACAGTTGTGATGGTGGAAGCTCCAACAGCCATCCTGCATTATGAGATAACCCTGAAGATGAAAACCACACATGGAGATGGTAGAAAAGAATGGTAAGAGCCTTGGTCCCTAATATCTGTGAAACCACCATACCAGCCCAATCTATTTGTCTACTCTCCAAGCAACCTTTCTTTTATAAACTAGACTTTTTTTTTCCTAGAAGGGAAGACAACTAGCCAGCCAAATACTATTCTGGCATGTTTGCCAGGTATATTTCTCATCACAATCAATAAATCAGGACTCTGGTTCCATGAGCAGTGTGAGTTTGCTAGCATGAACCTGGTTATTTTTGGATTTATTAACGAAATCGGCTTTGTGACCATGGGGAGTTTCTGAGCACAACTAGGTAATGTTTATGTGCAGCTATGGAGAGAAAAAAATATGCCAGCTGAAAATAAGCAAGGAAATGAGAGGTGCTGTGTGTGCCTTTGACGTCTCACAAGGATTCCAGGTGATATGAGTAGATATGCAACTCCCCTGGTCATCTAGCTGCTGGTGCCCGAGCTCAAATCATTTTCCCAGGCACATAAGTTGCAAAGCCCCTCTCTTGACTTACTTGCTTATTAAAAGGCATGGGGGGTGCTCAGTCAGTTGAGTGCCCAACTCTTGATTTAGGCTCGGGTTGTGATCTCAGGGTCATGAAGTCAGCCCCTTGTCTGACTCTGCGCTCAGCAGGAAATCTGCTTGGGATGCTCTTTCTCCCTCTCCCTCTGCCTACCCCCCTGCCCGCCGTACTCTGTGCTCTCTCTCTCAATTAAATAAATAAATCTTTAAAAAAAATATTTAAAAGGTATAGCGGCAGCGGAGCAGGCCCCTTTCCTGGAACACAGCTCATTTTGTGTACCACTGCTCCTGGATAAAGCACACCTCTCTAGGTGGCATCTGATGACTCTGCCTGTGAGGTGTTCCTGTGCCATGGCAGCCTTATGGTGTTTGTTGAATACTTTACTTAAAGAAAATGATTCTGGGGTTGGGACTAATTGAATCAGTGCACAAAGGGAGAAATACTTTGGTTTAATTATAAACTCACCTCCTTCTAAAGCAAGAATGTACGACACCCAGCAAATCAGGGATCAGAGAAAGAAAATGAAAAGGATCTAACATTGCCCAAGGGAGAGAGACACTGAGGAGAAAGGCAAACTACTCACTACTTAGTTATGGTCCTTAAATAGATACAGACAAATACATACATAGCTTGGGTTTTCTTGTTATTAGGGACAAATTACTGCTTAAATAATTCATGACAGATATTTGACATTATTTTGGCTGCCCAGTATCAGACACGTATGTGATATTTCTCACATTTTGAGTTTGTGGGGAGGCAGATCCACCTACCACGTTAGAAGCTGAAAATGCTTTTGTCCCAGTAACTCTGCCAGCAACCACATGAACAGTCTTAAGCTTGGCCATTTCCACGAAGGATTTTGAATTTGGAACTAGTGTCACAAAAAACGGAAACATTCTTCCAGCCAGTGGTAGCAGCTTCCCACTTCCTGCTGGGCAGCAATGCGGAGGTGTGATTTTTACCAGTGACTTCAGCTTCAGAACCCCCCTATGCGCCTATCCCCTTCACCTTGCTCCTCCTGGCTTCCTAGTGATTCTGTGCATCTCTGAGATCCTCTCATAACATCCTCCCCCCTCCCTCCTCCATTTCCTCATCCTTTT